TAATTCTAATTTCTAAGTCTAATTAGGATTTTAAATTCTAAGTGGAGCGATGTATGATCGTACAATGATATGTGTGTTTTTTTGTGTACCTACACATGCTTGGATCTACAACATGATAGTTTCTGATAGAAAATTGGATCTAGTTGGTTCTTTCGAGAGGTCAATATTCTCAGTATTTTTTAAAATGGTCGTGAACAATTAAAACAATTATTGGAGATGGGAATTTTAAGTAGGTAGAGTCAAATTTGTTATTTTGCTATAATTCAAAAATAAATAACTGTAAAATCTGGAAATTTTCACAAAATATTGATATAAACATTAAATAAACACAGTAGCGTAGCCAGGGGGAGGCTGAGGGGGCTGCAGCTCCCCCCCTCGAAATGTTAGTAAAATTTAAAAATTATTTTAATGGGCTATGGTATTCGATCAAAAACTAAACCCCCGCTGTGTAAAAAATTGATCAGCCCCCCCCCCAAAAAAAAAAAATCCTGGCAACGTCACTGAATAAACATTATATAATTTCAGGGTTCAAATTTTTATGAAACTTATCAACATTTTCTCTATAAATATTGATAAAAAAATGTAGAATACAAATTTACAATTTTTTTTATAGACATTTAAAAATCGACAAAATTGATTTAAATTTATCATTGAATTCAAATGTTACACATACATTATCTACGCTGTGATTAACTCAATTACTAGGTACACTCGACACTTAACAATGCAGTAGAGCGGACGAGCGGTTACTTACTTGCCATTTTTTTTGGTATTATTTATTTGAGTATTATTTGCTGTGGTAAATATATCAGTAAACCGGGTATATACTCATATAAAAATATTATTTTAATTTATTTTGTCACTGATTGTTCCCGTGTCCTAACTCCTAATAATGAATTATCCTCATCTATGATACTTATTCTTACATTAAATTGTGTCTGAATTTCGCAAATGTAAAATGTATTTAGTAATTACTTATTTATGGGCTGAAATCGCAACACAAAAAAGGTACCTATTATTTAAATAATAATAAATACCTCTGTAATATTACTGCAGAATGTATTGAAAAAATAATTTGAATATAAACAAGTTAATCTACTACTTAGTGCATAAATTATTGTTCTATATGTTCTATTATTTTTAGTTGTTTCGAAATAATAAATTTGTTGCTTCTACATTCCACCTATATTCTCTTTAACTATCATTGGAACTGGAAGACATTTAATTATTTTAATAATCACCAATGACCACAGATGTCGTAGCATATAAAACCGGTATCATAAAAAAATTATAATTATAATAATTAGTTTTAAATGTGTAGGTGAAAAAAAATTATTTATCTACTAATATTTAATTTATTTGTTTTTGAGATTTTCAGTTTATATGTGTTATAGTTTAATAGTTTATGTATGGCTGTATAGGTAGGTAATAACTAATAACTTAAAAGTATTTGTTATTTATTAAAGAAGAAAGGCACTAGGAATTTTTTGTGTTGTGTCAAAATTACATTTATTGCTTACTATAAGGATTCAAAACAATTAATTAATATAAGTTTATACATTGTGTGATAGTAATGATGTATTACTTAAGTAATTTTAAATTTGATTAAACTGTTAAACATAATATTGATCTGAAAATTATTGATATAAAACTATACTATAGTTAGGTATAAGTGTAAAATAACGGTATTATTTTAATTTTAATTAATAATTTAATGTGTTACACATTTAAATAATCCATAACTAAATGAATTGATTGATGAGCTATGGGTAAATTTGTTGAAATTAATATACCTACGTTTTATGAAAAACAAAATTTAAAAACGTATGTGTAATTTTTTTGTCATATCTATGTCCTGTGGATACAGGATACTGTGTAGGTCCCATAGGTAATACAATTTATAAATATTATGAAATATGCATAACTATAAAAGAAGTTAATATTAACAGGAAAAATATTATTTCGTGTTTAATTGTTTGAGAATAAAATCTCATTAAAAACTAAAACAATATTTTTATATATAAATCTAATAATTTGTTGAATTTCATACTTTGAAACTAATCTCACTTTAGACGTCCTCCAAAATTGTACTTCACTCTTAGATTGCAGCCGTTTTTAAGTTGTGGCCGTGACATCTCACCAGTGTAATCACATTCTAGGTGTTATGGCATTTTTTATTTTAGTCTTTTTGTCTTTTTTTTTTAAACTTGGCAATTAATCCCTTGTTGGCACCTCAAATGGTGTGTCATATTACTAAATTTAGAACGAATTGTGCGTTGTTTTCAAATCGTGATTGAATTTAGTTTGGATAGACAGAAATAATCATCATTTATCACTACTCATTTTAATTATTAAAGTGTCTTAAACTATTATTTACACCGTGGCGGATTTTGATTATATTTTATGATGTTATACCTACATGAATATCGGTAGATACCTAGATGGTTATGAACGATACTTTTTTTATAGCATACTCATGATTAAATATTTATGTAGATAGGGCATGTGCCATATAGGTATAGTTATTCACTTAAATCAAGGTCTAGATTAGAGGATATAACTTAATGTTAATTCAATACAATAATACTAATATTAATGATTTAGGTCAATATTATTAATATTAAGAAAAATTAATGAATTTGGACTTCGTACGGTTTTAATACAATATAGTTGTTTAAATATAATGTTATTTAAAATATTACTGTGGGTGACCTACGAAAATGCATAGTTAATTATGCAATATTGGATTAGAACCAAATGTAGTTGCGTCGGTAAAAACTAATGAGTAATACTAAGTAATATTAAAGTAAAAATAAAAAATAAATAGTAAATGATAAACAACATATTTTGTGTCTAAAGCAATCAACTGTAGTGAATTAGATAGGTACTGATACATAGTGAAACCTCTCAATAGTAAACACTCAACATGATAGAGGAATTAAAATGTGTATGCTATTAAGGGATGTCCTATTAGGGAGGTATTTTCCAACTTATTTATATACTTGGTTGTATATTTTTCAAATAACCTATATGATTGAACGAATAGTATTATTTTTTTCTATTATATTGCATATGTGTAGCAGGGATTATGGTAGATTAGGCACTTATTTATTATAGTGATCATTGATCATAGATTGGGCATGACTGCGTGGATAATTTTGTATACCAAGATAGGTAAAAAAAATATATTGAATAAATTATGATTTACTGCTTTATAATTCTAATCTATAACAATTATAATAGATTCTTATATAAAGGTACGGCGTACATGATAATAAGACATTGAATATTGAAACGCAGATACTTTTATAAATAATAATAATAATAATAATAATAATAATAACATATTAACATGTATATTTGTATTGATTTTAAACACTGCGGGTTTTGTAAGAAAAAAATATTTAAAACTATAGATAGCTACAAAGTGAAATAATATTATAATAGTTTAATCGATTTTAAAAGAGCACTTATTTATTGCTTAACTATCTTATAGCCAGGACTGTATTTACAATTTTTGCGCCCTTCAAAGTATTTTAAAGTAGGATTTAATATGTTTTTACTTTTTACGTAATGTAATGATTTCAAAATAAAGAATTTTCCTCTATTTTTTATTATAGCCAGGACTGTATTTACAATTTTTGCGCCCTTCAAAGTATTTTAAAGTAGGATTTAATATGTTTTTACTTTTTACGTAATGTAATGATTTCAAAATAAAGAATTTTCCTCTATTTTTTAGATTATTAAATTAGCTGTTGATTATTTTAGAAATAATAAATATATATAATATTTCATGTCAATTGTTGAGTCCCAAGATTCCATGTATAAGTGTTTAACAAATAGACACGGATCCAGAGCAAAGATCTGGGGGGAGGCCCACAATTTTTTGTTAATGTAAAATTACAATTGGAATCACTGTCTAACATGAACTAAGTTAGTACTATCTTAGTTTATGTACCCCAGAAGGATACGTAAAATAATATATTATATTATCGGACACACATGTAATTTGAAATATAGTAATATTAGGATCCGTAGAATTATTAAAACAATTTGGGAAATAATATGTCTGTGGTGGGCCTAGGCCCCTAGGCCCCCTCCCTGTATCCGTCCCTGTTAACAAGGAATTCAAAATCAACACTACTATCATTATTTTTAATATTAGGTACAATAATTATCTTCGAACACAAAAAAAATATTGATATATAAGTAAATAACTGTCAGTCAATGGCCCAGATTTCGAGTCTTATCTCAATCAAAAAAATGTAAACATAAATAATTCATTTTCATATTATTTATAAAACAATAATATTTATGTTTGCTTATCAATTTATTGTTTTGGGCCTCTTTTACATATGTTTCACTATGCGAGTAAGAAGTAAGGACCTATATTGACATAGGTACAATATTATTTTTTTTTGTTCGGAGAGTATCTTCCAAAGGGATGTTAACTGTTTTAAAAAAATCTATGATATGATTATCTTAAATTTGTTTAATATTGACATATTTACACTGATATATTAAGACGAAATCTCCAGAATGTATTTTCTGTAATTAATTTATAAATAATTGTATTCTGATAAAATTAATATATGTATATAGATTGTTCTATGTTATAACTGTAATATATGTATACCTATCTATCTATAGTTATCAAACACAATTCGAATTATTAACTCATCAATAATTATAATACAGCGTTGGTCTTACGCAGACCACAGTGCGCGTTCAAAAATGTAAAGTATCGAACTCCTCAAATAGGCTAATAAATTAAAACAGTGGTGTGCGTCGTTAGTTCAAGAGTCACCATAACTTTTATCAGGTTTGATAAGAACTATAGCGGGGCGTGCACTATCCGCGTGTAATAAACTACATGGATGCCGATCAGTGTACGGTTAAACGCCTTAAATGACACACACGTGTTGATTGTTCTATTTCGTGACGTACTTACCTACGGAAATAAAATTCAATTTGTTTAAGAATTCTTCATTTTTGTACAGTGCCTGAATATAATGTTTACATGGACCACCCAATGGACTTTCGACAATAACAGGCCCTGTACTGCCTGATTGTTCAGTGTGTCATACAAACAGTGATTTCGTCCACGACTTCCTAAACATTTTTTTTTACTTGAAATTTTCTCAACATGCCAACTGAAACGCCAAGCTCGAGATATTCGCCGGTGGATACGCGCGTCGAGGAACGTGTCGCTACCACTGCAGTTCCCAAGGTCAAAGATGCTGCTGCAGACAATGAGGATGGATATATAACCAAGATGAAACATTTTCTGACCACAGCAACATTGGCCAATAGCTCAAAGACCAAACCGTCCAAGAATTGTAACTGTAAGTAATTAATATGATTCCATGTAAATTTACTTTGACGCACATAAAAGAGGTTATTTATAATTACAAATATTTTTAAACATATAGATAATGCGTGATTGATATTTTTAATTGTTCAATTGATTGTTATAATAGTCAATAAATAATTATCAACGGATTAAATTACTCATATTTGTCGAAAGTGATTAAACAAGTGTAATTTAGTAAAATAAAAATAAAATAACAGTTTGTACGTTCAAGTCTGTTATACTTTATATACATCATACACCCAATACTCGACTAGTTTTTCAGTTCACAACATTTCAGGAAAAGTGTATTAAACCTAAAAACAATTTTTGAATACTTATAACGTTTGGCTTATAGATAAAGTTTTAAATTATAAATTCAAGTGTTCCAACGCGTAGAATTAAACATATTAAGAACACACATACATGTTTAGATTGTGGCGGTTGTGTATAACATTAAAAAAATTAGGTACAACGTTTTATTATATAAATATAAAATGCCAAATAACCTATCATTAATCACATTTTATTAAAATTTCATGGTGACTAGAAAAATTGTTAAATTTCATCGTAAATTGATTAAACGCTCATAAAATATCTAAATTATTATTTTTTAAATTCATGGTTAGCATGTAGTAGGGAGGTATAATAAAGTAACCTTGTATGGTGACTATGTTGAAAAATGTCGCAAATTTTAAAGTAGTAGACAATAAAATGTTTAAATTAATATTCAGTTATACCTATAACATATGTTTGAAGTGTCAACCGTTGGGCACTCTTTTTACAAGAAATAGTTTGAAGATTACCGATTCTGTATAGTGTATAGTTATTCACTATACATAGGTACAACGTACAAACACTACTTTATTGCTTATAATCTAAAATGTTTATTAACTAAATTAATACATTTGTTGATGTTTTTCATTGTTAATTGTCTTAATTTAATAATTATAAGACGATCCTTCGATAAAATATAAAGATATACATTTTTGTTTCATTTTTAAATAAATCTTAAATCGTAATTTATAATATATATATATAAATATATTCAATCTTCATGTATTTCCAAATTAGTTATGACTGATTAGTTATTAGAAATTACTACGAGAAAACTGATGTTTAGTCAACTAAACTTGACTTATAATCTGATTACTAAAATTATTTCTTTAAACCTCTTCTTACTAATTAACCTATAAACGAACAAAAATCTACAGCCATTTAATTATCTTTCCCTGGTTATTTTTTGAAGAGTAAGACTGTGTGAAATTTTTTTAGTTACCTATCGTTGAGGGTGTTTATTGCTTATAAAATGAATGAGAAATTTGTTACAAATTTCCAAATTAGTAAATAATATGTAATAGTAACTGTCACTTACGTAGTATTACGTTTACATATTATATTAATCTTAAAAGAGTCTTGTATTTTTGAAAGTATAAAACATGTTGAATGAATAAATAAAAATAATGTCATCATGGATACGTAGTTATAATGAACAATTATTAATAAGTGTTAGATAACAGGCGAGTTACGAATCGTAATTATTTAGTAATTTTTATTATCTAAAATATACTGTAACACAGTAGTATTGTTTAGTTAGGTTGAGCATTTTTAAGCGTTTGTCCACTAATAGTAATATATTAACTGAACTACTGAAATATGAAATTTACAAACGAAAATAGTTTGAAACTATGATGTTATTAATCAATCCCCCGCACCTTATTTAGTATAGGGTATAATAAAGTGCATATGTACTAATATATTATAACATAATGCAATAGAAATAATATTTTAACAAACAATAAATTGGTAAAAAATCTCTTCTATATTTTCGTTCTAAAACCAGTTTTTTCGGCAAGCGGTTTTTTGCTTTTAACGATTCAGCCTTTGAATTTTCATTTAAAAATTTCTCTCGGGTAATCATGTACCCAATAAAAAAGGTCTAAAAGATTTTATCCTATAGATTCCATATGATAAACTACTTTTGAAAAATTTCAAATCTAATCCAAAATGGTTCTTAAAACTATTCAGCATTATAATTCGAATAATATTGACCACTATATGATCATTAAAATTAATTATAAGATATGATTTTTAGTACTTAAATATATAGGTACCAATTAACTTGAAAAATATAAACAACAATTAAAAATATATTTTTACATAATTTGAATTCATATCAAAATGTTGAACTATTTGTTATCCATAGATTTTACTTTTTTGAATTATAATATACATTTTAATTTTGTATTTCGAGATTTTTTCTGCAAACTGTAATAAATAAAAAACCGGGGAAGTCGCTCTGATGTATATAATAGGCTTCAAGTATACATCGACATTGATTAGATCACTGTAATGACTAATGAATGTGTTCAATATTGGAAATCGACGATAATCTGCAATGTATACAAAAAATGATTCTCATTGGAGATGGTTCATCATCCCCTATTTCGAAATAATGATATTTAATGATTATTTATATTACAATAATTAGTAAAAACAAATTTTAACTATAACATATATTATCTAATTGTTAATTATTGATAATAATATAAATTATTGTCAATTTTTATTTAGTTATACCTATGTTAATAATTAATACCGATGAACCGTACATAGCGTGAATCAGTCCGTGGTATATAAATTAGTAACTTAAAGTCTAAATATATTCAAAAGAGCATTGTGTATAAAAAATAATAATAAATGTCAAGTCCCTATGGTTAATATTTTTTGAATTTCAACAAAATAACTTATGTCGTTAGAGAAATTGTCTTGCTTATTGACTTGAAATTAATAATCTCATCAACAGAAATTGAAAAAAATATTTAATTTAAGTAGAAATTTCAAATGTCTATAAATAGTTGAAAAGAGTCATAATATTTTGAAAATTATACCTTATCCAGAAAATTCTAATGTAAATCTTTTGTGAAAAAAATATACGTAATGATGATGTATACATTTACTGTTGAACAATCAAATCGCACTCCTTTAAAAATCAAAAATCGAATTTCAAACGAGGATTTTAGTATACAGCAAAATGTTGGTCCGCTACTCATTAGAAATTGATAACCGTCGATAACATTTTTGTTTCCTGGTCAGAAAGCTTGAAAATAATAAATGTAATATATGATTCCTCATGACTCATAAGTTATATTATTATAGCAAATATAGCAATTTAAAATACGTAGGATTTTTTTTAAAGGAACGATTAAAATAATAATGTCTTGATGAAATTGATGCATATAATGATGACTTAGTAAAATTATATACTAATATAAAATAAAATTATGAAATATAGTTTAGCTTAATGATTTAGCATGCATTTTTTAAAATAGAAATAAAATGCATTTTATTTATAAATTTCAACAAGTAGGTTTTTGATTTTGATATTTAAATCTCGATCGCTGAAATAATGTGTTGCAAGATCAGTTCCAATAACACAATTTGTGGTAGGTACGGGTTACTGTAATTACTTCTTTAAATGACAAGTTTTATATTTCTCCAAAACATAAAAATTCTAAAAATGTCAAGCTGTAAGAGCAGATAGGATCTCATCCATTCCCCTATACTTACTATATGCTCCCCAATAACTACGAAGTCATTGCAGGTTCCCCTTGTTTATTCCATCACAAGGGATCATAGTCAATCGGATTCTTCGCTGATCTCGTCAGTCATTAGTTTGTCGAAAATCATATCCTGGTATTCTATTAGCACCCGTAATAGCAGGGTAGTATCGTTCTATACCTATCAGGGCCACCAATGATCGTAACGTTTTAAAGAAAGTCATGACTTATTGGCTTCAGTCCTCCAAGATCAATTAATACATAGTTAATAATTATATACCCTATACTATAGTCTATAATAGTATTAACTTTCAATTGTGCTTTAATACAATAATAATAATTACGTTTTAATGTTATATAAATAACAATTCAGAACCTTGAATTAGAACCGAACATTGCTCTATTGTCGTTTGTCTCTAACATATATATTTATTAATGTCTCAATATAGATTTCAACATCATCATATGCAGATATGCTTGTCATAAAAAACATTGTGTCGAGAATCTAAATTAAATCAAATTAATGAATAGTTCGTGGATTATGTAAATGTTTTGTATTAAATTATTAATTTGGAAAACTATATTCATAGACTGGTGTGTATTAAACTACAGTAAATTTTTCATTACGAATTAATTGTTATTAATTGTTCATAAATCATAACTATTCATTTGGTAAACTATTTTTTATATATTGACCTGTGTTTAACTCTAGTAAATTATTATTAAGCAATTTTTGATTACGTTCAGTTATTTTTAATCAATAGCAATATAGGTACTGTAATATTAAAGTGAATTGACCTATTGTCATTTTTTAAAGGTAACAACTTTATATGTGTTAACCAGAGGTTTTTTAAATAAATATTTTAACTTTTAAGCATTAATTATGAAGATCTTTTAAAAATATTTTTCACATCATCATTATTATTTATATTTTATTTTTTTTATATTTATCAAACTTATAACGCTCTAAGTTAAAAATTTAAAGAAACAAAAGCTTGGGAAAACAGAGATAATATGTTGTGACTTGTAAATCTGAGGATGAGTCAATCACTATAATATTATAATTGAAAACTATTAACATATTAACTGTATATCATTATAAATATAGGAAGAAATAACATATGAGATTTGGTAGGGGGGAATGGAAGTCCTAAAATAATAATACTGAATAAAGTTAAAAAAACTTAAGAAATGTTTAAGGGATTAGCCGCTTATGCACGTCTTCAACTATAAATTTATTTCACAACCTGCAAGTTATTCTTATTAGTGTTCACTAATCGAAAGTGATGTGTTGAATAAGTGTTTTTTTTACTTGTGTGAAGAATTCCACCCATTAATGGAACTTGTGGCATGTGTTTATTTAGTCAATTAGGAGTTCGCGAAACCTAAACATTTTTTTATTTTTTTAAATGATTAATTAAAAATTATAAGTGTTTTGTTAAATTTGTATTAGGTATTTAAAGATTGCAATTGCTATATAAATCACAAATTTAATTTTTAAACTAATTATAAGAATAATCTTCTCCGAGTATCATATTTATATTTTTAATTTTCAATAACAAAAGTTCAAAATAGAATACAAATTTGGTGCTAAATATCAGAGCTCTATAATATAATACTGTACATTATTGGGTTTTAGTAACTTTTTTGGTGCTGTTTTTAATATTTTACAATAGATACTGCCTACATTCAATGTTGCGATTTCCCTAATCGATAGTTTTCCATTTAAAAAACGTTATTCATCATACTTTGCTTGATTTAGGTGCTTATCTGTATATGCATTGATAATTTATACTAGGTAGGTCGTATATTATATACATAATAAAATTATAAAACATACAAGTATTCGTTAAATTACTTTTTTAAAGGTATATAATTATATTCTACTTACCGTAGCTGTTTACTATGTAGAAAATATTTGTGCTCATTTAGCTATTACTTTATAATGATGATTTATAATTATTGATTATTTAAATATATTAAAATTTAGTTATAGTTCCAATCAAAGTACTTATATATTTTTAAGCATAAAATTATTGATAAATTTAATAGAATTTTCTTCTAAAATTAAAATAGCACTTTAAATATATAACTTTGGTTATAATGCGGGATAAATTAAAATCAAATTACAGTTATTCTGTATTTTAACTTTTAAGTTTTGCAGAGTTATTATTTTAATTATACTGATATTTTATCAAAGTTTCGCACAATATCAAATTATGACAATATGACAATAGATTAAATATTTAAGAGGTCCAGGTACATGACGTGTATAAAATATTTGATTGTATTTCAATGGTGAAAATTATAAGATAATCCTAAAACATTTGAAGGTAATGATAAATTGCTAAAATTATATTGATAAACCAAAGTGATGTTTTTCCTTTTTTGATTATCACCTATTGAATATATTTATGGTAAATTACCAATAAAAAATTGATTATTACGACTATATTTTATTCAAACAATTTAAATATAATATTTAATTACTCGATTACTAGAGTTTCAAATATTATATTTCTTTTAATTATCTGTTAAGTATATATTAATTATAAATTTAAATAAATATCTAAAACCATAGAAGAAATGAGCTTTATTTTTCGTTTAAATATCCGATTACATTAAATTTTTCAACACTTAAAAAATATGTATACCTAGGAATTTCATTATTTCAGGGTAAAATTATAGAGGTAATAAATATAATGTATTGTCGAGTTTAAACTGTAAACAATATATTCAATAACAAATACAATTAGGAAAATGCCATAAAACGATTACTTGTCTTAAAATTATTTTATTCGACTATTATTTTCACCTATTATATTTATTATTCAATAATAAAAGAATAATAAGAAGGTTCATTAGTATGTGTTCCCTATAGTTCATATAATTTAAGTACCTAGTTTGAAAAATAGCTATTAATTTAGTTAAATGGAATTTTGATGGAACAAATGTATATTAGACATAATACGAATTAACACCTTAATTTCCTAAATTAACAAGGCGCATGTTGTACTTCTCCTTATCGAAAATGGACCACAATTCATATAAATAGTGCATTATGTATAAGTTGCCTTTCATTTTTTAATTATTAAAAAAAACTTTTGTAAAGTACTTAATAGTTACTAGCACTTTTATTGATGGCGGTTATTTTTCATAGTTGCATTCAGTTTTAATTAAATCAATGGCTATAATAATATTTATCATTTTTTTTTAAACAATTTTTTTCCTTATTTGATTAAATATTATTTTTAAATTGTGTTTATTTATTTGTTCATTGCCATATTTATCTAATCAAAGTTTATCGGATACAACTTGAAATAATGAAATGTTATGGAATTCTCATTTATCTAGCTAGGACAGCTAAACTTTACTAAAACATTATATACCTAATAATATCTAATACGTAATTCCTGTGACTAATGACTAATGAGTAATAATACTTAATTGTAGGTAAATAGTAAATACTAAGCACTTACAAATTATAATGCAATGCTAATAATACTACAATGTCTATAATAAATAGTATAATTTTTGGAGCGTCATAAATCATAACTTATTATCATATTTTGATTAAACTATAAAAATTATTAATAAAATAACTTAAATTAAGAAATCAAAAAAATTAAATATGTAACGACATTAAAAAATGATTATTTTACATTAGGGACCTAGTACTATACTCACTATTTAAATGTAAAATATACTACCTAGTACCTAGTATAATAATGTACACCTGTATAATATGTCACGAGTCCGGTGGTGTAATTATATGAATTGGTTCAGGGGTGTGAGTTTTTATAACCCTAATAGGGGGAGCTATGCCCCTATATCCCCCTTGTTCGTTAAATTGTATAAATCATAATATTATATTAATTTATTATTATAAATTAAATGAAGTTTTTAAAGAAAAACGTATGGAAATAATTGTTTTTCAGATCAAAGAAGTCTAAAACGATCAGTTCTGTCTGTACAACTTTTTTATTATCCTTTAAAATGCATATTATCATTTTGGTATACCAAATTTACATTAGAATTTATAAAGAAATTATAAAAATACAAAATAAATGTTAGTGCATTATTCAGAATTCTTAGGGCATTCAATTCCTAGGCCTTATTATTGCGTAATTTACAAAAATATTAATTTTAAACAAAATGAACAGTTTTAATTAATACTGTTTTTGTTCTAAGAAGGTATAAATTTTAGGAGGTTAAAAATTATATCAGAAGTCGTAATTTGTAAGTTTGTATCAGTTTTTACTTTAATTGTAAAAATAGTGAAGCATTGTTCATTCATTTTAATTATTAAACCTTAAAATATTTTACAGCCAAGTGCTCACAAAAATGTAATCACAGTTATTTAAAAAAAAAAGATCTGGGAGATGATATATCCCCAAATTATCCCAATAGTTAGACGCCACTGCATGACGCATGAGTCATGTCTCATAAAGAGTCAATACATCAACAGAAAAAGGGTACCTAACATAATATTTTTAATAGGTACTTATATAACATCTAGTATTCTAATCTCCAAAAGTTTTGTCTTTTGGCAATGTAAAATGTATGTCATGTATCTACGGCTAAATCGTTTATGAATTAGATACCAATAAATAAACAAAATCGATTTTGTCAATAGTTATTACTTACTAGTCTTTCGTATATATTTTTAGTATTCCGGTTTTTCCATATTTTTGTTTTTTCAATTATTTTGAAAAATACTGGGAATTTCGTTCCCTCAAAGTATAGATACTATAGCTGAATTCATTTTGCTACTTGAAATCACCTTCAACGTTGTGAAATAAGTTTTTTTTTGTTCTTAAAAGCGATATTAAACACACATCATTTTAAAACCAATTGCTTAATTCAGAATCTAGAAGTAACATATGTCATATTTTAAATAAAATGTAAATTTATATGTTAATATTTGTTAATAATTTATTTTTTAAGCTAAAAAAATGTATTCTAATTTTATTATAATCTTTGAATTCCGTTGTGGTTTTCAACCCACCGAGTATCATTGCTATCAGCTTAGTCCATTTAGTATTAGGTACAATGTTTTATATTTTAGTTTTTAATATATTAATATATAGTTATTTTACTACCACATAATGTAAAACTAAAAAATTTGGGGGGGAATCCCCCCAGCCTCGATCACGACTATGCCTAGTGCATTTCACAAGGAACATTTGGAATGTAATAATTATGTTCCACCTAAATAATCTAATTAATTATTTGACTATTATTATTATTCCTATGAATATGTGTAAAAGTGTATAAATAAAATATCAAATTCATTTTACTAATATTGTGCTTTTTGATTTTTATTTATTTGTAGATTCCTGTACATTATTATTTATACTTGGATTTGTATTAAGTTTATTCCTCACCATATTCATATGGTTCACAGATTTATATACAAACGAATTATACAAGGTACTTATTCAAAATAAGCAATTTACCTATAGTAAAATCTAAAATTGTTTTTATTTTATAGAGACTGACAATTCAAAACGGTAGTTTGTTGTATGATTCGTGGAAAGAACCACCAGTGAGACCGTTAATGTGTGTATATGTATTTAATTATACTAATGTTAACGAATATATGAATGGTATGCATGAGAAGCTCAAAGTCCAAGAAGTTGGACCTTATTGTTATAGGTAAATATTTTTCAATTTTATTTTAGAATTTTGGCTGTGGGTGAGTTGCGACCCAGGTAGTTATCATTACCTATGTACCTAGATATACTTATTACCTATGAGCCTGGCAGTTCTGGTGATGTATATGCTAACGAATAACGCTATAAACGAAATATTCGATACGTATGATGGGCATACATAAAATTCAGAAGTAAGATCAAAGAAAATGTGTGAAAAAGCAACTTTCATTAGAGAACAAATGACAAAGCACGAGCTAAAAGAAATAGGGAATTTTGATTTAGTTAAATCATCGAGTTGAAAGTTTTTGCCATAACAATAGTTGGATTAGGTTTGGTTAGGTATAAGTGAATAACAATATTATTAAATAAAAACACTTTTTTTAACATTATTATCATATGACATAATACATATTATATTCTAAAAACGCAAAACAATATACGAACAGGAACTTTTTATTTTTTTAAACATTATTCTCATATGATATATTATATTCTGAAAACGCGAAATAATATTAATATAAGACAATATTAGAAACTACTTAATATTAATAATTAGTTTAGTAAATTTATATCGTGAAGTTTATATACTATGTATAGCACCCACTATGTATATAAATGTAATATGGGTACACATTATTGTGTGGCTGCAATTCGTACGTACTTCTCATAAGCACGGGCCGCAACTCACCAACACCGGAAATGTTCGTACAATTTTATTGTAAAACTAAAATTTAATCCAAATTAATTTTTTTAGGGAAACTTTATACAGGGTAAACATAACTGATCATAAAAATGGTTCTCAGACATTCAATGAGATGAAAGTTCAAGAATATGCTTATGATGTATCCAATGGAACAGATAATGATATGATTACAGTACCAGACATTCCATATATAGTGAGCCATCTTCAAATAATAGTTTATTTTAGTAACAACTTTACAACAAATTTATAGTCATAACACTCGTAACAAATATTATAATATAATTAATTATATCTATCTTATGGCCGTATTGAGATTTATGTAACTATTTTTAGTTGTAGGTACTCATGACCTACCTATAATTGGATTGGTAGGGATCTAGTATCTACTAACAGTGCCTATTATATATAGATTATAGAACGTGTCGGGGCATCGCAAATAAATAATAATTGAAAAAATTAAATTTCAATGTTCGGTTTATCTTTAAGAATATTGTGTATTAACCTATAAATTATACGAAAGTACCTAGTATCTTACCAAATATTAAAAAAACATCGATCAATTATCAATAAATTATAGTTGATATACGACTGTACGAGTACCTATACATAATTTATATAATATAATCGTATTTTATTCTTACTGTAGGTAGGTATGAAATATCAACCATGACATATGTTAAAATGTATTGTCAAATTAATTAATATTTATTGAAAATATTATTATAATTTATTTATTGTTTTTAGAGTGCTATAGCTTTGACTATAGATGAGAATTTTATCATAAGGAATGCCATGACATCATTTTTAAATCATGTGTCCAATTTCCCGTTTGTCACTGTTAGTGTCTATGATTTTTGTTTCGGTTACCAAGACGGTGTGATAAGGACATTAGCCGCAATGGCTAAGTTGGCCAATAAACCAATTCCATTTGAAAAATTTGGTTTACTTATTAAGGTAAATAAAATATATGATTAAATTTTAAGTAGCCAATTCGTAGGAGCTCTGTTACAGACTGCAGTTTACTTTTTAAGTATACGAGTTTACCTATAATTCATAATTATAATATTAGTAAAACGATTTTTTTTCAGAGAATTGGAGTTAATCCAGATCGTTTGACTGTAATTAATGGCCTCGATAATCTGAATCAAATGGGTCAAGTGATACAACTGAATGGAAAATCAATGTTACACCCGTGGAGTACAGATGAGTGTAATTCAGTTGGTGGAAGTGATGGCATGTTCTTTCCGAGACTTAAAGTTCAACAGGGAGAAACTATACAGCTATTTCATAAGGATTCTTGTAGGAAGTTGCCAATGACTTTCCGTTCTAAAGAAAAAGTAAATTTAGTACCTACCTGTAAAAAAGTGAACGAGAAGGCTAAAAACTGAGTTTTAATAATAATTTTTTCTTTCATTTAAGATAAAAAATGGTGTGATTGGGCATAGATATTCTCTGGCCATAGATTCGTTCAATAACTCTGTTCCTGAAAACAGTTGTTATTGCACTAGTAAACCTTGTATGCCTGATGGTATATTCGATATGGGCAAATGTTCTACTCGTAAGATTTCCATCGAAAAAGTCGATATTATGATTTATTAAGTTGAACAAATTTAATATAATTTATAAAATATATTGTTAATTTTTGTTTCTCAGGTTCACCGGTGGTTGTATCACGTGCTCATTTCCTACACTCAGATCCTTCACTATTGGACGCAGTCGAAGGTCTCAATCCTGATCCAAAAAAACACGAATTTCTGTGGCTTATAGATCCGGTAAAAAGCGCGATAAAATTTTTGAAAAATATTCAAACACTTACTTTTTTTTATAACAGTATGAATGATTTTTTTCTAGATCCTCGGAATAACGATGGAAACACAAATGAGAATACAGCTCAACATCCAAGTGCGTAACCCACACGGTTACGGTTCACTGTCGAAGATACCAGATAATACCATACTGCCATTCACCTGGTTGGAAATCGTGAGTTTTTTTACTCCATGACGATGAATAATGAATATGCTATGCTTATGTGTATCGCTAAAAATAACGTTTTTACAGAAAACTGGTGATGTGTCGCCAAAGCTGAGCATGTTATTGTTCCATTTGACATTTACTGTTCACTGGCTTCAGACGTTCCTGATGTGTTTGAGTTTAGTTGGATTGTTAGGCACGTCTTTTTGTCTTATGCGCATGTTAAACAGACGTTTAAGCAACAATATTGTGATAATTTCTAATGAAATACAACTAAAAGATAGGCATACTGAAAAAATTCCTATTTGTTAAATCGATTACTTACCTTTTGTTGTTTATTTTAATGTAAATCAATATTTTTTTAAAGTATATGTATTTTTATTATTTAATTGTATATATTTATCTATCATACTTTCAATTTTTTTTTAGTGAAATGTACAACAAATTTACTGTACACACAGTACCTAATGCTCATTTTTTGTCAAATTACTATTGATAGAATTTTTATACATTATAATTAAATTATATTTTTATTTTTAATTATATTTTATGTTCCAATATGTATATTAGAAAACTATCCATTATTTTTAAAATCAATAAAATAATATTGAAAAGAAGATAATATTTAGTGCGAGTGTATATTTACAATTACAGGTGGTAGCCATTTTTCGGTAAGCTCAATATTTAAACCCTTATATATCTCCACCCTTATCCCTTAAACATTGTATCGTTTTAATATTTTTTTTAGTAGGTACCAAATTTCTGCGAATGTCTTTGAGTTTAGAACCAACAGTTATATATTTTGTATGAATTGAATTTTGAAAATATTAGCATTCTTGAGGAGGTGGAAGTTGGGGAATGGTAGTAATAACTTTTCCGCAGCCCCAACGCACAAAATTGAGTATTTCCAAAATGTTTTTATTTTTCCACCTTGTACTTTGTTTTGTATACTATGTGTCTGGAAAAATCTCTTCCCCCACTATAATCACATTATAAGAATGAACCATATATAATAATATATATATTAGTTATAATGAATACTAATGAATGACCCATTAGTTGAATTAATTGAATAATAATAAAAAAGATCTTGGTAAGTTATAAATTGATAACAAGCCCGTTTTTTAGGTCACTATTATTTTTAAATCTGAGTATTGCTTATTGATCCAATTAATGAACCAGTTATTGGTTAAGTGGTATCGTAAAATGTTATATTTTACTAGGTATGTGACAGTATTGTAGTCCTACTGAATCCAGTATTCATGGTGTGTGTTGAGGTCTAAGGTACACAGTGACTGGCTTATACATGGTGTGTGTTAGCCATAGGCCTTACAATTATGTGTGTGCTAATATCTTTGCTCATTGTCTTTATGCCATATTTCATGTTATTTTAAACTTCATACCATCATTGTAGTTATCATAGTTTCACACTACCACCTTACTAATAAAAAATATTTAAAAAAAATTATAAAGTTTTTTAATACTCTGCAAGTTTCCAAGTACCTAATTGGTGAGTAAATTTGAAATCATACTTTTTGAAACAAAATATTAATTTTGTTATATTTTTTATACCTATATCAGTCCATAAGCACAAATCACAGGGTTCTGTAACTATAAATGAACCTATAGTAAAAAAATGTATTTGTCTACTTCAAAAATGTTGAAAAGGGAAATTGGAAAAATACTAACAGACAAATTTAAATAAACATGATTATATTTGATAAATAAATAGATATATATATTTATTTTAAACAAAAATCATCTAAAATAAATTAAACAGATAGGTACATCATATAATTATCACAGAGTAAAACTATAAACTAAAAATACAATTATTTCATTAAGTACATAAATAGCAAAAGCAAAAAAATAAAATAATATCTAATTTAAAATGATTAAAAACGGCATGACTGGCTATGTAGTATACAATGTGTATATAAAAACAATGGAGAACAAGTTCTATGGTCTTTTTTATCACTCAATTTCTTGTGATTAAAATATTGTACGAATATTTATTTTTAATTTACAAGCATTCAAAGTTTAGATTAGCGGAATAGTTTGTACCACAAATGTGTAGAGTAACCCTGCTACTTCACACATATAATATTAAACAATATGAATATAATAAATAAATAAATATAATGAGAACACATTTAAATATAATCTATTAATATATAGTAAATATAAACCTGCTTAATATTGCACATAATAAAAGTGATTATATAAGAGTATTTAAAAATGGGAATGTTTTTAGGGCCAGTACAATAAATTTTGTGAGCTAAATTATTTTCAATAGACAATATTGCTACATGAAAGCTATGTAATTAAAATCATTGTTTAAATGGTGCCCCATCTTCCCAAAGAGAAACCCAGGTCTCAACCTACAATTTTTTCAGCTCTGAATGTTAGACAAGTTATATTGTTAAAATTATATTATTTAAACCAAAAGATCTAGTAACTAAAATTAATTTATTACTGTTACCATTTTAAAATATTAATTGATTGAAAATAATAATAATGATAATAAGGTTTAAGTGTATTGAAGAATATGATTTTGTCTAAATAAATAAACAGGCTACATCATTTATGAATGACAATAATAAACATACATTTCAACCTTATAAGTTTTAAGATATTAGTTGAATAAATAATTTAAATAAATAATAAATAATTTACACTATACATATTTTTTGAATCAAGCACTTGTTTTTAAGATCATATTCATTTTAAGCTTTATTTAATTTAAAAGGGTCAATTTATTACAAAATTGTTTAAATTAAAAGCAATTTGTGATGATTAAAATGTGTAAGTTAAAATATTCCATTAATAACTACAGGACATGATCATATTATATAACATCTAAAAAGATGTATTGATTATTAAATCACTTTGATCGTTGACTAGAAAATGGTATACAAAATTGGTCTTCTTCCTTGACATTGAAGTTCTAGTATGGCCAGATTTATCTGAACGGGATCGAGGAGGATCTCGGATAAATATTTCACCAAAAACAGATGCTAGAATCAGTATAACATCAGGTTTAAATATTTGAAAATGTACGAGTAAATTAAATAGTATTGGTAAGTTACCAATGGTAACGTATTTATGTGAAATAAAAGGACAGGATCCAATTAATTGGTTTGGATAAGTTTTGAGGAAAATTGAAACAATAATCAAGTAAAATAAGAAAACACTAGACAGTACTATAGTAGCAGGACGGTGTAGGGATTTAAAGAACTGTGCAGCTAAATTAAAAAATAGTATAAAACTAACTAACCGATAGTTTTAACATCTAATTTGTTATCATTGACATGATTCAATAATTCTTGAAGAAACGCACAAAGGTATAAAAATACATTTTTACTTCTCTCTGGTAGTTGAGAAATAATCTGAATAATTCAATAATAGAATGTAAATTTAAAAATGAAAATAAATTACAATTTAATAATTAAGTAATACTGACTTGTTTACATTGACTGTAATAAGACACTGCAGATAAACAAGTCGCATGCAAATTATATGGTATTATGGGTTCTGATGTACTGTCTAACAGTATTAATAGAGCTTCAGCTACAGAATGTACACTACCGGCTGAAATAAAATTTAAAAAATAATAGACAGAGTAAATTTTTTTTGAAAGTAATTAAATCAAACCATACGTAAAGCATCTGGTGTTCCATTATCTAACCAATTTCGAATCTGGACAAATTCAGATCTGAGACCAGATTGTTCAAATAAATGTTCTTGTTTAAGACCATGCCTGTATAAATGATCCACAAGGTACCATACTTCTTTTGGTACTGGGTAAGGATCTGAAGTCATATTGCTTTTATTGTTTTCCTGAAAAATATAAATTATCAATGATCACCATGAAAATAACATTAAATTCAGAATATTACATTGATTACATTGATTGTAGATAAATATAAAATACTAATAATTACTTACCAGTTCCATAAGTTTTCCAAATGGTATATTTTTAATAGGAACTTTCAAATAACAAAGTGTTTCTAATGAACAACCAAAACAACTTCGCTCGTAGTTACCTAAAAAAATATGGTATAAATTAATGAGTAAACCATTATTGTTTCTTAAGTTATATACCTGTGACAGTTATAAAGATGTCTTTACCACCATCTAAATGTAATACTAAAATATCATACAACTTGTCTTGGCCACTGATCATTTTATATGCTGATCTTTTATCAATTAAAACTTCTAAAGTAATATCACATTTTTCACCTAAGAAAATATTATTATAATGTTCATTTATTGTTTTCAGTTATTAAATAGGTAATTTAATAATTTACCAGGGTCAATAAAACTCATGAAAGGCTCAATTCGTAGCCATTCTTTACAATACGTAGAATCATCCAATTTTTTTATAAATTCAAACTGTACAGGAACTTGACCAGTATTAGCAACTGTAAGTTCTTTTAGTTGAGGTTCCATAAACTTCACCTTGTGGAAAATTATTTCAGTGTTATCAACCATAACTTGAGGTAAATATTCATTTTCTGCTTTGTCTAATTTTTTCATTATATGTTCATGAATTTTTCTGTACTTGGTCATATCAACAACTCTTACCTGTTTTAAAATTAAATCAAGTTTAATTTTAAAAATACAAAAATTAAATAGATACTTACTTCAGATTCAAATAACGCGCTGACTGGTTTGTGATCACTGATCAACAAATTTGGATGACTTCTGTAAGCAAGTTGTTTAATTGAATTTCCTCGCCACAATATTCGGTCACACCATGCAGGGGCACGATTCTTCTCACTAATCAAATATTCACAAATTAATGTATATTATAATATAATTTTCATTTTAAACATAACAAATAAAAACATACCTGCTGTCCCAGTCATTGGTGCCTGGATCATATTTATAGGTAGGAAGGAAATTAATTAAACCCTCCTTATAACCTTTAAAGACATTTCCAGCCCGATGTTGTTGTTTTAGTTGATCTGCTTCTAATACATTTTTAAAATTATTTTTGCGTACTAAATCTTTTACGGATAATGGATCCATTTCGGTTATCCTATAATTGAGGTCACCAAACCAATAAACTTGACTAAAATAAAGACATATAAAGTAAATTATTACATTTTAATATATTTTGATGCAATCAGTCTAATTGTTATACTTTTAAAATAACTGTTGATTCGTAATTTTTTTTATATACTACTCACTTATGATCCTTAACAGTTTTTGGAGGTGTAAAATTCGAAAATACCATTCTTGAACATATATTTTGATAATCTTGATTTCGTCTTTCATATTCTTCAACATGGGCTGCTAAATGTGTATTTACAAAACATAAAGAAGTGTTATGGAAATCCATGCGAACGGCAACTCCACCTTTATTTCCCTAAAATTAAGTTTAATAACTATGATGGTTACAAAATATTTAAATAACAATTTACCAATTTGCCCATAATTCCAGTACCAACAGTATCAGTAGCAACATTTTTAACATGGTCCATGTGTTTATTTTTAACAAACACTATAAGCATCATTCCCACCAATCGAACTAATGATACTTTTTTATAATTTCCCTTGGAATTAAGACTTTTTGTTACGGCTTGTCTAATTAATAATACAAATTAGTTCAATTATTTTTATTCTTTAAAAATATCATTAACTCAAAATGTTTCATACTAAAAATTAATTCTTAAAATACTATGATTTAATAATTTTCTCCTAAAAATTAAAAAAAAAATGTACACTAACTATTATAGATACAAATTATTAAATACAGTTCATTATTTGTCATGACTCGTGAGTAATATAAACAATACTTGTATAATTCTTCCTAAAATATGGCAAAACGTGTACTTTTTTAACTTTTTTAAATGTCTCTTAAACAATATTAACTTACAAAATGACTAATAGGCAAAACACAAACTGGTATTAAATTAAATTATAAACTCAAAGCTTTAACTCTAAATTCATTGGTTATTTAATGCTTAATTTGAATTTACGTGTCTTTAAACACAGAAAGTTTACATACTCTGACAACAGTGTTTGACTAATTGACTATTCAATTAACTACAAATAATGATCAAGTGTTTCATTCAGTAAGATTGATAAAATGATTTTAAGTTTTGATATGCTACAAGTACAAGTAGTTAAGTCTGATTATAATCGTAAATATTCAATATTATAAATTACTTACAACCATTCTTCTTCTCGTGGAGAATCATTAAAAAGAAATGCTTCTTTACTTAGGTCAAGTTCTTGAAAACCAATGGCATAAATATCAGGAGGTTCAGAATCACAAGTCAGCCAATCATTCAGGGAAGACATGGTTGGTTGGCCATTAACATTCCAAGTACCAATATAAATACTAAAAAAAAATAAATATAAATATAAAGCTAATTAATATGTAAAAAAATAATGACCGGAAATGTTGTGCATTAGTATATTGTTCTTCACTCAAAATCATTTGTCGTTGTATAACACTTTCTCGAGAACTTAGTGTATGTGTTCCAGTTGGAAATGATACATCATTTTCAGGTACAGCCATCTTATAAGTTTAATACATAATTAAATTACAAATAATACTTTTTATCAATATAAAATATTATTACATTAGCTGTTATTATACTATTAGATGTATTATCACCATTGATATTCATCATCAAACCTAATTCTAAGTCAATATCGTTTATATTATATTTTTTTAACCATTGAAAATCCAGTGTCTGTTGATTTTTTAAATATACTGTAAAAAAATAGAATAAATTATGAAATATTACTATTCAGAGTTAAATAAGAGTTAAATACTAACGGTCCATTGATCTAGATAATTCATTGAAAAAATGATTGGTTTCATGACCTGAATCCATTCCCATTAATAATTTAAAATTCCGTGCTGATAAATTAATATATATATCAGAGTTAGATTCTGCTGACAATGAATCTAAACATAATTTAGTTATAATTAATATTAATATTTTAAAATAATTATCTATTTTACAAGTAATTAGTATTTGGGTACTTATTAATAATAATATTTGAAAAAGATTTAACCTAAATATTACATAAGCGGTATGTTCTAAGATAGGAAATTAATAATGTTTACCTATATCACATTTGAAATCATTATCAATGGGCACAACAAAGTTGATTGTGAGGTCTGTAAATGCTTGTGGTGGATTTCTGGATGTCGTAAATATAAACAAACCAAATGATAGATTACGTTCGACCAAGGCTAATAATCGGTGAGCCTTGGGTGACCAGCCTTGCAACAGTACACCTTCATGGAGCTAAGTAATGGAGACATTTGTTATTAAAATATGATTGATACATAAGTATAAGCTTAATAAGTAACTACTAATTACCGCTACAACATTGTCACCAGCATTCAATTTATCCTTCATAATAGCGGATAGCTCCATCATAGAATTAAATACAATCCACAGGTATAAGAGCTTAGCCCGTACTCGACTGTCCGTTAAAAAAGCCACCACGGACAATTAAAATATTCCCAAGAGAAAAATTGTAATATTTAAAATGAAACAGCTCGCACCTCCTTCAAAAGTTATTACTGAAATATGTACACAGCAACAATAGTAATAACAGTTAGCAATTATTAATATACACTTATATCATTATTTATTATTAATATTGGTGGTGCACTCACTAATTAAAACACAAATGAATACTTTATTATTATTATTTTACGTATCAGTATATAAGTCGTGATAACATAATTCATAGGGAGCATTAAAGTCACAAATACTGGAATCTTAGATTATATTGTATATGATCTAAGAATGGAATAGACCAAATAGTCGAATGTCTACAAAGACGCGTCACAAGTCACTATTGTCCGTGTCGTCTTAAGACGATTCGTGACTCACAGACTCATATTATACATAATAAAACAATTTAACTTTTAGTTATTAGTTATTACTTAATAGTTAATACTTATTAGATGACTAAAACTTTGAACGTTGATACCAAGATTGACAAAACTGTATATTGGTATCATTTATGGACAAGACGTAAACTACTATTATATTATTGAATATGATTGATACGACGTTGCATAGTAAACATTTCAATATATATATGTGGAAAAAGATTAAAGGCTTAATGCTTGATCACAACCTTTTGGTCCACAAAATAGTTGTTCCAATGACCAATTGTTCTACTGTCTATTTACGCCATTAGCTAATACTTCCAATATATTTTTGTTCTAATGCTCAAGAGTCAAGACGTATATATTGTATATAGATCATAAGAAAATAGTTATTCTTTATTTTAATATGTATTGACCAATTTCGTCAAAATTTGAACTTTAAATGCTTACAAAAAAATCGGGGAACCTAGAAAACAATTGTATTGACATTTATAGAAAAAAAATGAAAGAATAGAAAATTTAAATTGCTTATAAATAACTCAAAACGAATCTACCTAAATACTTTGAAAATTGTATTATGTATAGAAAATGATAAAATAAATATTTGATGAAAATTTCAAGTAGGTACCTACCTATAATTATAAGTATTTGAATAACAACAAAATAGAAAATTGTTGAATAAGAATTTGTTAATTTATCAGTGAATATCCAATGTTTAACTTCAAGCTTTAGTAAAAATTTAATTCGACTTCAGGTAAATATATTTTTTGTTAAATGAAGAGAAATTAATGGGAATCTTGTATAACATTTTCAAAGCTAAGATATAAATAGTCAATTATTTAAGAATTTCTAACTCAAAATAATTAAAACATTTTAGTAATATAATATATACGAATTTCGTCAAAATTCTAACTTCAGACACTTATGTAGGGCTGCGATTTTAATGCCCTAAAAAAACCCGAAAAATGTCCTAAAAAAATGCTTTTATGGCCCAAGAACTCTAAATAATGCCTTAAAAAACCCCGAAAAATGCCATTAAAAAAATGCTTTTATGATCTACAAATTTTTTTATTTTTAATAATTTTAGTATAAATTACAATAAAAAGTTTTAAAAAATGCATTATAAAAATCTATTTCAAGTGTAAACTATAAATACATAGTTTTAGTATAAATCTAAAAATAAAGTTGATTGTCCGATAATATAATACGAATTACGAGTAGCTACTTATAATCTGTTATTTTTATTTAAAAACCATGTTGGTGTAAAAAACTTAAAATCTTAAGATAAAATTTCAAATTCATACACTTGGTTTCCAAAAACTTAAAAAATGCTCCAAAAACTCTAAAATGCCCTAAAAAATTAAGAAAATGACCTAAAAACTAAAAAATGCAAAATAAACTTTCTTATTCTCATTCAAATGTACATAAAACAAATTTGTGACAAGACGAGCATTGCACAGTAAGCTTTGAAAAACAATGCAAAGTGCATAGAAATCCCAGCCCTACTTATAAGTCATAATAACATATTCTGGTGGATGAACGCACAACTTTTTTCTAAATTTCTACTAAAACATGCCCCCCCCCCCCCAAAGGTACACTGTCTGGAGAATATATTGCTATTTTTGTATATGCGGTTCCCAAAAGGTAATCAAAATTGTTTTTAATATTTAAGTTAAGGCAATAATACCTATACTAATAATATTGTTTTTTTTTAAGTTTGATACAAGAAAATAATCAATCAAGATTTTCAAGAAAGAATTTGGAGTGTATCGGTACGTATCGGGTCAATTTTGAGCGTTCAAGATGTTACACATGCAATATACAAGCGATACGTACCGACCCGTATAGGACTCGAACTCCGATACGAGGTGGTACGTAACTATTTCGTATCGATACATATCGAATTTTTCTTCTTGAAAATCTTGAATGTGATGTTCTGATGATGGATTCTGGGCAATTACAGCCAATTTATAACTTCAACCTTAGAAATAGTCCATAAATATATTATGCGGGCTTTTACGGTAAACTATAATTGTCTATGTCTAATATGTAGACCAAATTACCAATAACTGATAAGTATTGTTATTATTATTATTTTATTATTATATTTATTATTTATACATTCTACTCTACACTCATTTAGTACTATAATATATTTTATAAAAAAAAAAACAGTTAATTTTTGAAAAACTAACATTGTTATCAACAGATTTTAGATTTATTTACTTTGATAAAACTCATATCTACTTTTCTATATAGGTACTATCCATAGATTGTTGCAATTATCTATGGTACTATCTAACTATCAAAACGATTTAAACTTTACTGGCGTCGATGACATACTTAAAAGGTCAGTTCATTAAACATTAAGCGATTATAGCAGCTGGCCACACACTACTCATGTACTCAGTGAGCATTATAATCAATATAATCACTGATATTTGGGTATTCTGTGTATATTGACTTAACGATTATGCCACTCTGAGTAGCTCTTACACGAATATGAATCATGTCATATTATATTTAGTATTTACCGATTTTCCTTTGACTAATGCCGCTTTTACCGAAAACCGATAGGAAACTACGAGTGAAAATAATTACAACGTCATACGGTTTTAATACCTCCCATTTACGATGATGTACGTCGTACGACTATGTTTATGTAAAGCACAACGATTGACGAATATTCACCGAATACACGAGTCGAGTTTTTTGACAAAATAAATGAGTTCATTTGAATGTTTTATTTTATTTTTATGAATCATTTAAGAACTAATATAAAATCGTGGTTTAATATTGTTGTTATTACTTATTTTATATAATCGAGCGGTACCACCAAGAATTTCACGTAATTAATTTTTGTGATTCGTAATCAAATAAAATATAATATACTAAGAATATATACATTTGATATATGATATATAAATATTTATACATATTATATTTATTTAGCGGTAAATAAACTGGAACGCCTTAAAAATCGTTCAAATTCATTAAAAATATAAACTTCGTTCACGATTTATTTGAAAAAAACGAGTGACGTTCGTGGTTCGTGTATATACTATATAGTATATTATTATTCATATAATATTAGATATTTAGATGCAGACAACAATATCAGTGAACAATTCAACAATTTAATAGTGAAATGAATTAATTTCTGGGAGGCAAAACAATATATTATACTCAAAACTCAATGCAGTTTTGATAGTATAAGAATATTAGCAGCCGTATTCAGTTTTAATTCTAGCGAGTACCTATTTAATTTGAGATGTAAAAAAATATTTATCAAGCATATCCTGATAAGATTAAATTGTTTTCTGCAGGTTACCTATAGGCTATAATATTAAATTGTTTATTCTAGTGTAAAAATGGAAATCGACCAATTAATTTTTTTAAGAAAAACTACTAAATCGTTTTTGTTAAGAAATGTAAAGAAACCTTAGATCTAAGAAAGAAACCTTCTGCTTGTCAAGAACGAAAACAACATTCAATCAAACTTAAACATAGAAGACAAAGGCTAATAATTCTAAACCAAACAAACATCACTATCGTAACATAGACACATTAGAATGATGGTATTGGCAATAGAAAGCTTATCAATTTTTAGGCCGATGGGGAGTGGTCTATAATGTGACTCTTCGGAAAATGACATATACATTATACACAGGCGGCTCCGACATCTTATCACTTTCCATCTCCAATAAAGGGAAGTTGATGATCCAGCGTTTGGTGACTCTGAGGACACACTCTCGTTTGCAGGACCGGTAACCCAAGGCCGACAGTGATAAAAAGGACCTTTTGTTGTAGAGCCGGACAAAGAGATTCATTCTGCCACTCCGACGGACGCATGTTTTTTTGTGGAGTTTGATATATTCATTAATATTTTGAGTTTACAATTACTATATTATATTAAATGAAAATACGGGACAAACAATAATAATTTATTGTGGACGACATGGGCCCCTGAAATATTACATTGAAATCATTGAATATTTCAATCATAGACAACCTAGATCTATATGTCTCGATTTTTGACACTAGTTGTCCACTTGTCCCGTATTGTCATGTAAAGTATTTGGAGTTTATAACGTTCGAACATATAAGTAATTAAAAATATTTATACCTATAGAAAATAAGATGGCTGTACCTTCTGAAAATCCTATGTATAGATGTAGATTTACTCTTTTCTCTGTCTTTTTTTATATATATTATTATTAATGAACACTTCAACCCGCTGGTCTCTGATTGGTGTAAAATTTATTTATGTGGCTTGTGAAAATCGTCTCTATATTTTACAGATTTGTATTTTCGGTTTTTTTTTTACCAGGGTTTAAATCACATGAGGAACCTCATACTTATTGCATTTTCAAAATTTTTACCACGATACAAACTTTGGAAAAAACTAAAAACCCTACGAGATATGGACATCATGAGAAGTAGGTACGATGTGTAATAAAGCTGCTCTCCGTGGATCTGCTTTCATACGTCGTAATTTTATTTTCAGAATTAAAAATTGTATATTTTTCTATAGTTCATTCTATCTTTGAATATGGTTTGGTCACTTTGAGTCTTTGAATCCTCATGAATCTAGCTTTAGTGGCTATCATTCAGCTTGCAGTATTGTTGTTATAATTTGATGACTGTACGCCTGTACCTATCACAATCTCTATTGATTTGTACAAATAAACGTTTTTGTTATGATATTTAATTAGTTTTTATTTGATATTGAGGCAGAATTGATAGGTACTTAAAAATAAACTGTATATTAATTATTAAATACAATTTAAATTATTGAAGCGATAAATCACAGACAATGGTTTATACAAATATAATAAAATATTATGATCGCTTCCACATGAGCTCAGAGCTCGGACACATCAGTTGTCGACCAGCCATGTATAAAGATTTACAAACATAAGGACAAATTTAAAAATTCCAAAACTTAAGGGTTGCGCCTTCTCAGTGAATAACAAAAATAATATGATGTCCTGGAATGGACTGGTTGCAGGATGTCGTATTGGGAGATGGCAAACTGCCGCAAAATGACAGTTTTTCTAAAAGTCAATAAGTAAACTTAAACTGTGGAAATTTATTTTATATACATAATACATACCAGTACGATAAAATATATAGTATAAAGTTGTCGTTTAATTAAGTTGCGTATAGATACAACTAATATTATATTATTTTTTATACATCAAGGCTACAAATAACAATAAGCTAATTTATCATTAATCGTATTATAAGCATAGGTACCTGAAACAGTGAAACCTGACGGTTATACGCCCATCATACGGCTATTATACCAAGGTGGATATATAATATATTATTTATTATATATATATACACTTCGGGCTATAAGTATGTTATCAGTGGCTTTGGCTTGCCTCATGATCGATAACATTATTTTGTACCCTATCTTGCAACATAATATTATGCGTATTAATATAATTGGTATATGGTGTGCAGTGTGCAGTGTGCACATAGTCAATACTAAATAGGAATATCTTAAGAGTATGTATGTGTAAAAAGAAAAAAAAGAAAAAAAATTCTGAAATTTAAAAATATTATTACTAAATTATTATACAACATGTTTTTTCAATAGATTGTAGTAATCATAATTGAAAATTGATTACCTATTATCCTAAAAGAATAAAAATTGAAATAATAAATTAATGAAAAACTGTTTGTATGTATATTATTAGTTACTCAAATTTATTAGACAATTCCATCTTAAATCAAGCATTATACGAAGCGGCACTTATTAGAACAATCAAATATTTCTATAAATCTATAATATCTAACATTAGTAAGTATTTAAGTGTATTGCCAGAACACCCAGAAGTATAGGAACCAGTATTTTTAGTATGTTTCGTTAAAAATTTAAAATTATATTTGGATTTACCTTACCAATTTTGTACACAACATAACATTATTAATTTAACGATTAACGAACCTATTTTATAATAACACGTATATTGATAGGTACTAGGTAGGTATATATACAATTTACGTACTTATATAATATAATGTTATCATATCAGTATCGGTATGTATAGGTAATATATAAGTAACTATATGAAATAAATTGCCGCAGCTTATTGTTGGTACAATACTATAATGTATCTTATAACCGATTTAGTCATAGATTATAATGTAATGTCATACTTATAACATACCTACTAAGTACTAATGTAAACATTTTAAAAATTTGTTTTGCAGCAGTTTACAATTTTTACACACTACTTATTGATTTTTAGAAAAATAGTAATTTTCCCGCGGTTTACATCATACAGCCGTCGTATTAATAATATGTTGTTTACTGAAACAGTGACGCACGATAAATATAAATTATTATGGCTACCTACCTATTTTTATTTTTTTTATTTAAAGATTATGGATTCGACAGCATAGGTTAAAGCCTGTCATTGAGTTTACATTATTGTGTTTCTTAGATATTAAGTACTGTTGCTAAAGATTCTAGAAATTATTAATTTTGCAATTTTTATTTTATTATTAGATATTTTTAAATTTTAAATTTGTTCATTATATTAGTGATACCCAGTGGCGGTCAAACGGGGGGGGGATGAGGGGGATAGATCCCCCCATGACTTTTTTCCTTTAATATTTGTAACGATTACATTTATGAATATTGTACTATAATGTTAATGTATTACATTTTGTTTTAATTTTTTCTCAAAATAACCTTATGACTTATGAGCATATATTATTATTATATAGATTCTAGAGTTATAGACTCATTCTAGGAACAAGGCTGTTATTATTATTAATATTTATTAATTAGTTGCTTATAAAAAATACACGGGATTTATCCAGCTCGGTGATCGTGAATATTTAATAACAACACACTCCTCCATTGACCAGCCCATCGGCCGAAACGTTGGTTATGTATAAATAGCTATGTTATTATAGTCTGCCAATTCATCGATTATTATTATTACATTTATCACAATATTTTGTTACACAGACCACAGTGTTTTGGCTTTCGTAATTCGTACTCGTTACTCGGGTCTCGTGAGTCATACTGTGTCGCGCTTAATACTTACTGTCTGCAAGTCTGCTGTAATTGTAAATTGTAATAGATATTGTCTATGGTCTATTTTATAATAATGTCTAATAAAAGAAAAATTACCACCTATTTTACTTGCTCAACCACTAAACACTCGGACTGAAAAAAATAGTAAGATCCCTAAGATCATTACAGAAAATGAAGTTGTGCCGGTAATATTTGTTTATCTAATTAATGTAAAATGTTTAATTTATGTGGGAAATGGGAATATTAATTCAAATTACCTATTGTATTAGACTGTTGATTTCAGTGTCCATGATATTGACTGATGCTGATAGATATTTGGTAAGAATTAAATCTTTTGTCAGTCATTAATTATACATGTACCATGTGTAGTTGTAGTTCATTATTACAACTAATACAACCAAAATTGATTTAGATTCTTGAAGATGTGTGGATACCACCAGCTACATCCCCCCCATGACAAAATCATTTGACCGCCACTGGTGATACCTACTTTGAAATGCTATTATTTTCGTAGTTTATTTTCATGAAGCATTATGCTGTGTTGAAGGGCATGTTCAGGATTGTGCGTGTTGGTGTAGTGAGTGTTGTGAGTTGTGACATACAATTGCCAATAGGTATATTATATATTATGTATGATACTCCTCCACTACGTTTATGTGTTATATTTATAATATAGTTAGTCAGTGGCGTTCCCAAGGGGGGGAGGTTAGGGGTTATATCCCCCCCCCATTGACATTTTTTGTTGACTTCAACTTATTAGATATTACCATAGACATAAATAAACATTTATATATGTCTATGGATATTACTTTTAAACATTTATAACATATATACCCCCCCCCCCATTGCAATTTCCTGGGCACTCCACTGTAGTTAGTGATTGCTTCGTTTAAGGCTTTTCACCAGGGGCGTTATTTAGTAAAATTACTATTAGGTATGAATGTCTTATTGTCAAAAGACATAGACTACAGTCCTTAGTCATAGCATTGATATTATAAAATCAACGGCCATAGCCTTATTGCATGAGTCATAAGACATTTAGACATACTACATATAGTAAATGCTATTCATGACTTCTTCTGTAGGAGACCGATAAACTGGCCACCGGCCGCGACAGACACGTCCGTCATCCATGAATACAATAACTAATAAGCAATATAATGACAGAACAATAACACTACCAATTTTAAAATATTAAACAATCGTCCATGGTTTTCTCGTCGTTTCAAATTTCAATAGTCCTTGCCAACTACGATTGGTAGCATTGTGGAGGTATCATGCCACGGCAAGTCGGCAACATGTTTAAAGTTTAAATAATAATACAGTCATATACTCATATACATTATACAGCAGCTGATGAAGACGGAACGCTCATATTTTACTGTTTTGCCGTTTATGCAAAAATGTGAAATGTTTAGTGCAGTCTTATCGCAGAATATAGTATTTACGTCGCGTTACTAAAAAAACTGAGTAACTGACCGTAAAAAATTCAAGATTATACCATGTTCAATGTTGTTTAGGGAAACTACGTGCGGCGTGCAGCACTGCTTGTGCTGCAGTTTTTGAGCTATATGTCGTATGGGTAGGTACTTGGCAGAGGAGTAGAGGACTGAGTCAGCTGCCGGTCTCGCGGGGCGCAGACGACAGCGGACAGACCATAGTGCCATACTACCATAGTCAACGTTCGGAGTTCGAACGACGAACACAGTCATTTCTCAGAGGTTCAGCATTCTGCAGTCTTCATGATTTAATAATTATTATATCATGGCAGTTTTATAGTATAACTTATAGTTTTAGCGTTTTATAGTACAGCTTCCCCCGTGCAAATAAAAATAAAGAAGAAGAACGCCATAGTCCGTTTTTGTCGTTATTTTATCGTCACGAATTGTGTCATGCTTGATTCTTGTTGGCGTTGTCGCTTCTACTAAGGTAGGTATTATACACTATTACTGTTGTCCAGTTTTCTTAAAACTATTATGTGGTTGAACACTTGTGGAACGGTGTTCAAGGCCGCGGTGCAGTGGATCGTGGATCACTTTAATAGCGTCCAGCTGTATTAACTATAAAGTACCTAATAAAGGATTGGGCTCTGTGTTCGGACATAAGCACATGAAGACATTAAGAAAATTCTCAACTCGAACATTTAAATAATAATATATTTTTAATTATTATATATACGACTTACAGTGACGTATTTTAGTATTTATAGGAGGGATCCAGGGGTACTGGACCCCACAGAACCCAAAAAAAACATAGGTAACTAAAGATATTGAAATTTTAATTTGACATTATATATATTATAATATAATGTACAGTGGTGTATTGGTAAATATATTTATGGGTATACGCACTAATAAAATATGTATAATCTACCAAAAAAAAATATTATCGCTTCGCTCGTAGTCAATAATCATTACAATAATTAGGTGACTTAATCTCTTATATTATATTATTTTTATTTTATTTCTTTATTAAATTTTCAGTATTTTTACTAATATAATAATATTAAAATTAACACTGATCATCAATGGAACCGACTAGTATTCATTCTTCTTTGTCAAACGATACTACGATAAGTACAATAAGTCGTAAACTCGAATAGCAAGATTCAAGAAGGAAAATACCCATTATTGCAGTAACAATAATTTATAAATAAATCTATAAATAAACACCATAAACCATTTAATTGGCCATAGCCTGATAAACACTTAATAACATCAGTGGTTACAAAAACATAACATCGCAAGAAACACATTTGCCGCGCGTTATAATTTATAAATGACATAATACAGGTTGAGAACCATGGACTGAGCATTCATACTCCATATTGGTAATATTACATAATATTTTAATAACATCTATTTTTCAAAATGTTATTAATAAATTTAATTTAAAATTCATTATTATATTAAAATAACAATTTTTCCTATGAATAATTGGTTTTCGAGTTATTTTAAGAGCGTATACCCGTAAAATGATATTTTACATTGGGTATACGCAGAAAATAGAAAATCTGCTGACGGGTATACGGCGTATACCCGCGTATCCGTACCAATACACCACTGATAATGTAGATGATGTTCATGCAAAGACGTTAAGTAAAACAATAAATAAATAACTATGTAATATGTTATAATATCAAATACCTATACAATTTTAGAATTAAAAACATTTTTGGACCCCCCCTGGCCCCCTCAGAAAAAAATACTTGAAAATACGCCACTGACGTCCAATATCGGGCAATGTGCATTATACCTTATAATAAGGTATAAGGTATATGGAAATGCAATGTGTCATTATTAATAAAAATTGGTTGTTTTTACCTACCTATTTCACTATTTGTTCTCTAGTATGATGTTATATAACTTGAGTCTAATAGTTATGGCGTATGCCGTTGCCATACATTGTGAAGATTGTATTTTCAATCTGAAACACAACGGAAAAGATATTCAATTCGATTTGACACGGTAAGTCGGTAAACATAATGTACAAGGTGATTGTACCTTTATTAGTAGCCTTTTAGTACCCTAGCTTACACTTTTTATTCTTAAAAAGTTAATGTTGAAAACAATTTTTTACCAAATTAAAATTGTTTGAACCAATTGCTCACTCATTTTATCTTGAAATACCAATTTCAGTAATAAATAATTAACTTGGTAATAGGTACTCGTTCAAAATTAATTTTTATATTTTTTATCAGCATTTTTAGACAAATGTTCTGCTTAGGAGTATGAAATGTAAATATATGGTTTATCATTCATTTAAGAAAAAATTGTAACGTAAAAAAATATACATTTTTTTGGCACCGAGAAAAATGACTCCCGAAAAAAAACCACATATGAAATTTTGTAAAGTTAAAAAAAGGGGGACAAGTTGGATATGTTAAATTTTAATTAATACTAATTTTTTATAATAGTGTACTTCTATCATATTATATCATTGACTTATGATATAAATTTTTAAGTCAATACCACCTTTATTGTAGAACAGTATGAATAGCTTCATGGTTTAAATAGGTATAATCGCATGCAATTTATCTAATTATTTTGAAAATATTACGTTCAGTAAAATGTATAATACTTTAACGTAAAAGTTTTAAGTCCCCACGAACAATGTTTTCTTTTAAACATCTAATTTCGTCGATTGATAAAATTGTAATACAATTCATGGCTTAAATATACATGGTTATTGCACATGGCGAATCAAACAAAATAAAATGTCAGCGAACTTAAGAGTACAGCACTATAGCCCATAGCTTAAGTATAGGTTGTCCCCATAGACCTATTAACTAAAAGTAGTTAGTACTTTATGGTCGTCCCCTTATGCTGTGATTTTAGTTAAATTAATTGATATAGTATTACTATTGCAATAACCTTGTATATTTAATCCATAATACCATTGTATTATTATTTCTCTGTGCATCGTTCCTATAATGATTGTAATCAGAAATCGGCGATTGTATTTATATTTATAGATTATAAATAGCTATTAATATTAAAATGTATTATTCGTGTTACCGGCTTCACAAATGCTTCTTTAATTTGCGGCCGAGAGATATTTGGATATATTTATTTTAACTATTCTCAAGCGCTTATGAAAAAAAAACCATAGTTATTTTCGACCATCAAAATTGAATGGTCGATTATTTAATAATACAATTATACAATAATATGCGATATTACGTATTAGATAATAATTTTATTTAAGTAAATAATAATAGCAAATATCATAATTCATAGTAGAAGTTTTGAAACATGGTTAAATTTTTTTCCATAAAGTGGACTCCACAGTCCACACGTTCACATCCACTTGTTTTGTCTCCGTCTTACAAACGTGTAACATAGAATACGAGTATTTACGCTCAGCAGAACACTTTTAATTCCGATAGTTTAACAATTTGAGTGAATCTACTTATTATGAAAGTTGATGATTAGAACATTATCTGTGTTCCTACATTAGTTTTTTAGTATGCATTGTTCAATTTTTAAGTGTGTTATGGGCATTTTTCATTTAAGCTATAATAAAAAAGCATAACTTGCTTAAAAATTGAACTATCGTAAGAAACCCATTTACGAACATAGATTTTGTTCTTACCATCGAGTTTCTTAATAGTTCTAATAGTTCTAAATCAATAAGTTCTATGTTCATATTTCATATATTATGGATTTCAATGATATTTGAATATTTGGCTATTCATTTTTTTTCTGAAGTTTTGAAGGATTTCAAAAAGTGAACTTCAACAAGTTTGATGATATGTTCTTAAATATTAAGTTATGCAAAAGCAATGAACATACATCAACTTGCGATGGAATGAAGTCCAAAATATGCTTAGTTAAATACAAAAAATATTCTACAGAAGCAGATATTGGATCCAAAATTAAAGGTAGGTCCTATTTAATTATTTAAATAAGTTTTTAATCATTGAAGGAAATTGTTGGTCGTAGGGTGGTAGAGCTCTGGGGGCTTAGCGGCTTAGCTGGTCTCCTAAAAACGGTCGGAAAAGTAATTTTTATATTTTAGATTAACGAATCTTGTCCATTGAAAAGTATGTTAAGTAGGCTTGCATCACATATTATATCAATGGTTGTAGACTACCTTGATTCCTTCTAAAAAAAGGAGGAACTTTATGTACTATAGAGTAATTGATAGGTGTCAAGTATATCTCATAATTTTATTGGTTACTGTAATAATTGATGTATTCAATTTGAATTGATTGATAAATCATATTTAAACCTTACATATAACAAACGATTCTGAATAAAGACTGAAGATTCAGTCAGTCAGTCAGTCAAGACCGTAGCTAGAAAAATATTTAGGGGGGGGGGTTGAGTATAAATATGTTATATTATATAATATAATATGAAATTCAAAGCCTTAGTTAGAAATTGTGTGTGTGTGTGGGGGGGGGGGTTGAACCCTAACCCCCCAATCTACTGCCTTGCAGTCAGTTTATTTTTAACTATTTTATAATCACAACAAAAACACTTCGTCAAACTACGTGTAAAAAATGGACAAGTAAAAAAAACAGATTTTTAAGCACTATAAAGATGTGATATCATAAATAAATTTTAAGTAAATTGAATTAAAGTACACTTATTTTGTTTCAATAATTGATTTGCTGGACAAGAAATAATTTACTTTATATGATGCTGCACACGAAATAACGTGAACAAAATTAGCAAAAGACATTAGAGTTCATTATAATTTAAAATATTTTAATCGAAATTTCTATTCAAAATAATTTTTCGCCAAATTAATAAATTATTGAAACGAAATTAGTGTACTTAAATTAAATTAAATTAATTTAAGATTTATTGATGTTACCACATATCTATAGTGCTCAAAGATCTGTTTCTTTTTACTTAGCCATTTTTTACACGTAGTTCGACGAAGTGTTTTTGTTGTGATATACTGATATCACCAATTTTTTATGTACATACCCGTTTTTCATATACAATGATTTGATAATTGATATAATTGAGTTCAAATTTAATACCACCCATTACAGAGACCTCTTAGACGCCTAATGTACCGCAGACAGTGCGACATCCACTTACCCGCTTTTTTTTTATGTTTGACCATCTTCTATGGGATTGTTAACTTTTTCGGTGTCCTATATAGAAATGGGACGTACATTTTATGTATTTATTTAAATATATTATTTTATGAATTCATAAGTATAAAATAATATCCAGATTTTTGTGATTTTGAAATACTTTTAAAAAACATATATACCTAATATAATATAAACAAAATCTAAATATCATAATTTTTCTTTTTCAGAAGTGAAATTGGATGATAAAGATCGACTGGTTTTGTCTTTGGAAGGAAATACTATTTGTGAAAAAAATCAAAAATACTCAACAGATTTAATGTTTACTTGCAATAAAAATGTAAGCTTTAAGATTTAAATAAGTATATTATTTACTATAACTCAAAATTATATTTTATTTAAAACCATATTATACTTAATACATTAAGTATGAAAATGTGTAATATTTTGGGTATTATATTTTTATATTTTCTAGAAATTTAAATCTCAGTTAACTAACATAGGTTAAGTTTATACAGTTCTGTTTACCTATTCATCTAATTCCTTCAGGTTACATTTCATAGAGCTCAATTTGAGTAGCAAATTCCAAATATAACTGTGTAACTGCTTAGTGCTTATTTATCTAATTATATTATAGTTGAATCTTAAATAATTTGTAACTGGGACACTGGGTATTTGTTTCGTATGTGATCCACCAAGATGTTTATCTGTATTATATAAGGTCATAAGGAGGAGTACAGCTACTGATCTAATTAACAGGCGAGACACATTTTTTAAATTTTTTATGTAATATACAAAAAGTATATTGCTAAATATTTTTTTTTAAATAAAATAAAGATTTTTAATAATAGTTTTTGAGCTTGTTCTTAGTAGTAGGACTTCAGTCTTCTCCCTCTTTAATTTAAAACGTTATTTGTGCCTTATACAGTTCAAAAGTTTAAAAGTAAAATATTACAAAATAACAAGTAATTTAAAAATACTAATTGTTCCTACTGCAAATGTACACTACTTATGCCAATCATATTAATTATAAAAAATGAGCATATTTCATTGGACTATATTTTATTATAATAAATAATAATTAATCATACAAGGTTAGATGTGTAATCCTTATTAATTTACACAAATATATCCATTTGACTGGAGCCATTATAAAGCAAAATATTTATGTTGTGAATTTAGGTATTTGTTAAATGTATGTCATTTGATATTCAAATTTAATTTCAGATGAGTGAAAATAAAACTGATTTTAAGCTAAATGTTAATCATTGCAAGTATATTATAGAATTGACTTCAGCAGTTGGTTGCCCAGTAGATGATTTGGATATAAGAAATGTTTGTAAAGTTACAATACCTCATACCCATTTTAAGTAACTATTTTATTTCAAACATACATAAGAAACATTTTTAATTTTGAAATAAACAATTTAATAATATTTTTTTTAAATATTTGCATGAATGTTACTAACAGTTTCTACTATAATAAGTAAAATAATCATATTATTATTACGTTAAAAGTCTATGATACAAATAAATATTATGAAATATATGTTAAGTATAATAAAATATACTATATACTTAGTACTTACCTAATATATATTTTTACTTGGGATTGTTCGAACTCAAATATTTAAGTTAGCTATTAAATGTTGTATAAAACAAATGTGAAAATTGTTAAAGAAACAATTCTACATATCAACACATTATTATATTAAGTAGGTTAAGCAATTGGAATTTCAAAATCTCATAAGAAAATCTATAGACTAATATTAAATAGATATTACAAATAAATGTATTTACTTTTTTAAAAACTTTTTATACTTCTTAAAAAATAGCCTATTTATAATATTAATGAATTATCTAATAATTAGCTTTACCATAAAAATGGACCACTTTGGAATTTTTCGTTTTAATCAACATTAATCCAAATTAACAAACTTTTTGAAAAGTTGAAAGTTGTTCCAAGTCAACCCATAAACTGGCTGACTTCAGGTACGCATGAGTTTTAAGTGACTCCAGGCAACATTTAAGGTCTTTAAAAAGTAAAAAAAAAACATTTATTATTATTAATTGATTTATATCCTTTATGCTCTGCAACCTGTTAGCTACTTAATTAATTTAATTAAAATATTTTCTCAATTAAAATTTCACATTTTTTTTTTATTATTTATTTGAGATAAATAATCTATACCTTAAGGGCACAATAAGTTTATATGGTTAGAGTAAATTACACATGATACGCTTGATGTGAGAAGTCATCCACTAATGGCGCTCAATATTGATTTTTTTTTTTATATATAAAATTAGTTAAACAACTGAAGCTTTGATTTTGGATTAGTTGATGGGAGGGGTGTGAACAAGTATGTCACGACACCATTTTCGTTTTAAACGTCTGGGTGGGTTTTCAGGAATAGAAAGGATTGCGAGATTTCGTATTAACGGGTTGCTATTAGAGGAAAGACGATTGTGGAAGCGTCGGTAATGAGCTATAGCTTCTTCATGTACCAATTTCATTTTTAGATCAGTGTGAATAGTGTGGTTTGAGACGTAAGGAGGAGCATTTTAAAGTTTCCTGAGTGCTATGTTTTGAAATGTTTGTATTTTATTTACGTTTGATTTTTTTGCATTATCCCATAACTGTATGCCATATGTCCAGACTAGTTTGATTAAAGATTTATATATGAGCAGTTTTATGTTGATATTAGTGTACTTGTTATTGTTAATAAATGTTTTAAGAAGACGTAATCGAGAGTTTAAGTTTAGTTGTTTAGACTTAATATGGTGGGCCCAGGTTCTACGATCTACAGTTAGTCCAAAATATTAACTGTTTGAGAGTTTGGAATAAAGGTACCATAAATGGAGACAGCTGGGCAGGGAGTAGGTCTTAGGGTAAAAGTACAATGTACAGATTTTGACTGGTTTATTTTCAACCGCCAGTTAGTGTACCATTCTTCCATGAGGGAGAGGTGATCGTGATTTTGAAGATGGCTGGAAGCAATAACCGGGTCATTATTTACTGAGATTATAGCTTTATCGTCAGCATAGTCGGCGACTAGTGTATTCGGGGAGGTGGGTTGATCAGAGGTGTAGATGTTGTAGAGCACAGGCGAAAGAATTCCACCTTGAGGAACACCTGCCAATATTTTGGCTATACTGGGGAGGGTTTCACCGAAACAAGTACTAAAATATCTGCCAGAAAGATACAGAATTATTAGGAAGTATACAGGACGTAAACATTTTTTCAATTTGAAAAGGAGCCCGTCGTGCCAGACCCTATCAAATGCTTGAGAGATATCGAGAAAAACATAAGTGCAATATAATTTTTTTTTTCTAATGCATACGAATTTGCATCTACAACTCTATGAACTTGATGGATTTTTGAGTGGGTAGATCAAATCCAAACTGGGAGTTGGGAAGAGAAATTTCACATTTAAAATACAAATTTTAGTCTACATGCTGACAAAAGTTGAAACAATAGATATTTATGATGATATATTAATGTTATTTAAATTATTGATGGAGATTAAACTGTACCTAGTCAAAAAATTAATTTAAAAATGTGCAAACTGTTATTATTTATTTGATCATTAGTTTTATGTTCATATACTATAACATTATCCAAAGTTGTAGTAGGTACATCAAAACATAGGGAATTAGACTTTAGTATTGTTGATTCCAATTTTATGTGTTTTCAATACAATTTTCAGCATTTATTTACAAAAAAATAAAAATAATAATATCATTCTATTTTAATATAAGCTAATATATATTGTATTTATTTTTCAAGATTTAATTTGAATCCTTTACGACGTTTAACCAATAACTATTTGGTTGAAAACCAAAATCGTAAATTTGAGCTCAATATCTGTGGCCGTCTAACTGACAACAACAAATGTGGTGGTAATATCACAACAATATGCGATATAACTGATATCAAAAATCCTAAAGTGTATGCTGTTGGAAAGCTTGCAAATGATCAACTTCTGTATGATACAGATAGTAATGTCTTAAAATTGATCCAACACGAAAAAGCTACTAAAAATAAAAGTTTGTAAAGCAAAATAAAAATTGTCATGAAATTTAATGTTTTTAATGAAAGCAATTTGATATAATAGAAGGTAGAAGAATTGAATTTATTTTTAAGTGTGATGAAAATATAGCACCTGAACATACAATACCAAAATATTTAAATGACGAAAATCACCAAGAAAAAACAATTTCCCCTAATATTGCATATTTTGAAGTAGCTACATCAGCTGTTTGTATACCAAGAATGATATCATGCGAAGTAAGCAATTTTTTTTAAATTTTACATTTTTTCTGAGTTCTGTAATATTATTAATCAACTTGATTTTTTTAGCAGCCATATGTCCATATATTTTTATATTTTTTTTTGTATCGTTTTTTTTTTTAAAGTGTGACAGGTTTAATGTGCCATAATTTAGTATTATAATCACATGTTTGTAAATTATAAGAAAGTAGAATATGATTAAAAAATGTAATCTAGTCAACATTTACATGCACATTTTGCATCAAAATTATAAACAATATTGAACATAAATACATAATGTATTATACCTATTTAAAATGATTATGTTTGTTTTACACAAGTTGTATGTTGTATAAACAGCAAATCACTAAATATATTTTGTTGTTTATTGCCATATTAATTTGATGGTATTCAATATTAATGAAAATACCACCCCAGTATTTTCAAAAGTATAAATTAATACATTTCTACTATGCCTTCCATAGGTAATTACAAAATATGCAGCTCGTTTCAATTTAAAACCTTTACACAAGCGAGTAGACAATTATAAAATTATTGATGGAAACAATGGCGGAATTTTTTACTTAAATATTTGTGGTTATTTAAATGAATATGATGGACAAATTCCAACTTCATGTACAGGTTATTAAATTTGTAAACAATTCAAACTATTTATGATGTATTAAAATATTCTTAGGAAATAAATGTGTTTAAAAATATACATTTCTTTTATAGTCAATGGTAAAACTTCTGCTTGTTATGTGGATAGTACAGGTAAAGGAATTTCTATTGGGTCAACTCAAATTGGTCCTTACTATGACGGAAATTCAATAATATTGAATTATACAGGTAAAATAATTAATTACTTGATTCGAATATGAGCTTATGAAATTAGAATTGTAGGTTGTTAACTGTAATTAAAAATATTAAAATAAAAAATACTTTAAAGTGGTATTAATTTAAACTATAAATACCACAAATTTTGACTTATACAATTAGTGTGGTAATGTAGTTAAAGTGACTACCTATCTCAAGTTATAATATTTATAATATTTATAATGTTGACAGATGGAGATAATTGTCAAAATTCTTTCAAGTGGTCAACTGTTATCAATTTAACTTGTTCTGGTGAAACGAAACTCATACACAAATTAACCAATTTCACTCTATGTACACATACATTTCATTGGAAAACCCCTAAAGCATGTGAAATATTGGTAGTTATAAATTTAAAAAATGTATTTTTATTACTTATGTTTTAAAAATTTAACTATTTTATTTTAAAGTTTGAGAGAAACGATCAATGTATGGTTACACACCCATGGTATTCTCAAACTTTGTACAATATTAGCAATTTAAAATATCAGACGTTTGAAAAGGACATTGAAGATAGCGCATCATTTCGATTTAGTATTTGTGGTCCATTGCAAAAACCATGTAATGGTATTTTAGATTCAGCTGCATGCTGGTCAGTTGATGGTACTGAAATGAACATAGGGATATTTACTGAACAGATAGTGTTTGATAATGGTTCCATCTACATTTCCATGCATGGAGAAAAATGTGTTAATAATGGACAGGGACCTAACAGTCACACTATTATTAGATTTGTGTGTGATTACTCAGATTTAAAATGGATTGAATACAAGAAGGTTAGTATTGTTCTTAGATTAATATGTATTTAAGTGAATGCAATTTCTTCATTAATTTTGTTACAAATACAATATTTACAATCAACCCTAGAAGAGTTAAAAACTCAAGCACTTGCTTAAATTATTAAAGTTTTTTTCAAACTATAAACTATAATTATTATAAAATACACCGAGGAATTGAATAATCACTTATTTTAATTTAAAATTAGATTAAATTTAGAAACGACAGTTGCTGGAAGGTTTACCTATATAGATTACATTCCTATTTAATATTTTGAATCTAGATAACTCAAATTTTTTTCTTCTTCCTCGGAGTGTTTAAGGTGTGTTTATAACTAGAAAAATATATGCAAATTTATTTTTATTGCTTTTGAGATTCTAGTTATTATTACCAGTGGCGTAATTAGAATTTGGTTTGGGGGATAGGGGATTATACGTTTTAGAAAAATCTGGACACCTCAGTTACTTACTGTAACCTATCCCCTCCCCCACCAGAACAAAAAAATTAAAAAATAATTAAGTCATTCTCATTTCTCACCTTGGTATGATCATCAATTATAATTTTATCACATGAATTGTTTTTTTTTGACAATATAAGAAACAAAAGTGTTTTTCCTTTTTTGTTCCATTGTATAAATTAACGTTTGACTAATCAAAAAGAATAATAATAATAATATTTTATATGAATAATGTGTACAACAAGTATTATCATTTACTGTTTACTATTTACCACCTAGTACCTACTGGCTACTAGTGACAACTGCCAATTAACGATTAAATACAAACTGGTTTACGGTTGTCTTACATAATACAATTATATAATATAATCAAAGAAAACACTTCCCATCAGAAAAAAGTATGGTTTATTGTTCAGAGTTATATTGTGCATAGGGGCGAATGAGTATACTTGTCTATGTACACTAGGGGTGTAATGTACATTCAAATTCGAAAAGTGTAACCGTAAATAATTCGAATATTCGAATACCTACTCGAATGATTCAAATAATTCGATTTTCAGTATTTGATACTACAAAATCAAAATTAATCAATATAAATAATAATATTATATTCAATGATATTTATCGATGAAGTTTAATTTACAAGTATTTATTAATTATTATTGAACAAATTATCGCGTAAAACTATTACTAATAAATATATATTTATTTTTCAATTATTATTTACTATTCATTATTTTTCTGTTATACCTAATATTATATTATGTATTATTATTATATATAATTGTACAAAATAAACCCTCACCAATAAAAAATTCTGTTAGAGTATGACCCTAGAATTTAAAGATTTTAAATTAAGTTTGTAAATTTAGATCAAATTTCGTAGGTCATGCCTATGCATGACAGGCAAGACCCGTGGACACGCCTATGAGTCATTACCAATACTTTTATCAAATGCATGTTAGCACTAAAAAAAAAAAGTTTTGGGCGGGGGGATCTATCTCCCTAATCCCCTCTAAGAAACGGCCCTGATTGAGACTTGACTGCTTGAAACTAGCCTTGAAATTTAAAAAAGTATTCAGAAAAAAAATGTTTTACTTTTATAACCAAGCTGACAATTTATAAGAAGTATTTTTAATATTTACTTCGTAAAAATGTTAACAGTATTATGTTGTGGATGCATTGAATAGAGCCAAATAGTTATTGTATTTTGTTTTAAAATAGTACTGTACTTTTTGTTTACTAGGATTTTGATGATTGTACTTTTGAATTCATCGTATATACAAAATATGCATGTACACAACCGTTAAAAATTAATTGTACAGTCAATGATCGATTGGGAAATATTTTTGATCTAAGTAAATTAACTAAATTGAACAGTAATTATGAAATTATCACTAAGCAAAAGAAAACAATTATTTTAAATGTTTGTCACTCTGTTATTAATAATGATATTAATGGTGTAAACTGTCAATTCAATAGTGGAGTCTGTTTAGTCGACCATAATGATTTATTATATTCTAACCGGTAAGAGTGATTTAATACTATAATATTTATATTTATGTAAGTTCCTAGTTAATAAAAATAATTATTTAGTATTTTAATTAATTGAAAAGTCAGTATCTCTAATTCAAAATAAAATGCAGATATTGTAGTGCAGTTTTTTTTATGTAATAATTTATATGACTAATATAGCTCCCCATTTCTAGCTGAAAAATAATATACAAAATTAGAAAAGGTACTTTTCTGTTATCCCTACTACCGTGAGTCTCCATTCTGTTATCTCGACTACAACGCTGGTGCTGCGACTGCAATTCGCTCGATTACCTGTTGCTGACAGTTGTTGTGTTTCGTTATTGTATTTATTAATTTTCAAATAATTATGAATCTGTGGAATTTACCGAACAGTGGAAAAGATGCGATTTAATTTTTTCAAGAGAAGGGCTTACTTCCGGGGCACAGTGAATGCAAAAAACGGTCATAAAAAAAATTTGTAAAAAAGAAATTTTTGGAAATGCAACGTCAAGACGTGTCAGCATAAAACCAATATGTGTATGGGTAATTGGTTTGAAAATAGTCGTCTGTCTTTTTTAACAATACTCCGATTTATATATTGACATATTGTTGGAGTGCAGAATTGACCTTCCTTAAATTTTGTGAAAAGCATTTGGATATGAGTTATTGTACGGTTGTTGATTGGAATAATTACATGCGTGAATAATTAGTCAACTGCTGTGATAATTTTAGAATTTTTAATTTGACGTTTTGTGATAATTTTGATGACGTTGTACTAATATACATTATTATATAAATGACAATTCATGTGTTTTATGTATTAAAATATAGAACTATCTGGATATGACTTTAGTAGTCGAGATAACGGAATTGAGTGGTTGCGGTAGTCATGGCATCGAGTGGTAGTAGGGATAACAGAAAAGTACCTTAGAAAAATTTCTCATAGCCATAAATAGCATAAACTGTCAAAATATTTTGAACATTTTACTATGTATGGAAAATGCTAAAAATATTTTGTGAAAATTTCAAGTGTCTACAGTTTTGAATTACAAGAAAATATTAAAAGTTGTGACATCAATTTTTATATGTTTTTAGACCATCATAAAAGGGATCTATTATTCATATACTCATACATTTCATTCAAAAACTGCATTACAATAGGTATCTGCATTATATTTTGAATTAGAGCTATCGACTTTCCAATTAATTCAATGTATGTATATTATATTTTATAAATACTATTTTAGATATAGAAATCTTGGCGATGTGAAGGAAAGCCCTCAAAAAAAGGGAAATAAAATAATATTAGAAATGAATAATGGTTTTTATAATGGTCACATAGTTTCTTCAGTTATTGAATTTATATGTTCAAATAAAATTCATGTAAGTATTGTAAATATGAATGTATATTAAAATTATAAGAAAAATATATGATTTGCCCATGTATCACATTTATATAATATTAAAAAAAATGAAAATATCTTATTCATTTAATTTAGGCATTATTTATAACTGATAATTGTGACGTTAATTACATTTTTTTTATGTAGGGCCCAGTATTAACTGCCGAAGAAAATCATAAATATATATTCCAATGGTTCACACCATTGGTGTGTCCTAATCCTCAACAAATTAAAAAAAGAGAAATAATAAACAATTATGATACATTAGAACCAACTTACATACAAATTGATGGATTAAACTATACCACATATATTTGTCCCAAAAACAATGATGATGTCGATTATAATTCAGGTAAATCTTCAAATATGATTAGGAATATATAACATGTTTTTGAATGGTTATAAACGAAGTTTGGAAAGTAAAAAAATTCCCAATAGTTTCAAGTGTCAGGAAAAACCAACAAAAAATTAAGGAAAAACTGCCATTTTTTATGCAAAATCAGTTTTCGAATAAATCATCAAAATTTTTTTTTGCAACTAAAACAAATAAGTGTAGATTCATAAAATATTCACTTCAATATTAGCTTAGGCTCATGAAATTTTCAAGGAATGCTTCTTTTACCAACTTTCTATACACCATAGAATGTTTTTAATGTTTGAAATATTGCGACTTTTTTTTGAGCTGTTCATAGAAATAAAAAAATTTATAGTTTTATAAGTTTTTTAAAAATAATCGTCGATTTAAAATTTTTTTGCTCAGTCAAAATGTTGACTGGAAAGGGTTTGATGTTAGACAGTGGATATTCACCTGTAAATTAACAAATTCTCGTTCATCAATAATTTTCTTATTTTTTTTGTTATTCATAAATATTAATATCTTACTGACTACTGTAGGTACTTGAAATCATCAACAAATTTTTATTTTATCATTTTCTATTTATGACATTGTTTTCAAAATATTTTGAGTTCTTAATAGACATTTAAAATTGTCAATTTTTTTTAGTTTTTTTTCTATAAATGACAGTAAAATTATTTTTGTTGGGCCAAAATGCTTGAAGATTCAAGGTTTCTCATTAGTAGTCATAATATCAGTTGAGAAATATTAATGGTCCATAGGCACAGTTTATTTTATAACCATTTAAAGTTCAAATTCTGACAAAATTTATCAAAATCTCGAAAATTTTCAATATATTGTATGGAAGTTAAAAAATTATAAAATGTTCAAATTGTATAAGTAAGGATTGAAAATTTAAAACAAGGATTTTTGTTAATAGTTCATACTATACTTAACAAATCCAAAAAAATGTATAAACACAGTTATTTTTGTACACATTTTAATTTCAAATTTGGAGGAAATTACATGTTAAAACCAAGAATGACGGTAGTTATTTTGTTGTAGTTAAAAAATATTATTTGTAATTACTTGAAACTTTTAGAGTATACTATTATATTTTACATACACAATGACATTTTAAAATGTAATTTTCTTGGCAAAAATGAATTTAACCTATCGAAGTACTAATGCCTAATAAAAAAAAAAATTACTTTAATCACAATGATATCATTGCATATACTTAGTACTATTATAGGCATCATTATTGTATGGTCTGTCAGTTTTCGCTCAGAGTGGTTTTTCATATACAATAATTTCATACCATTGAATTAAAATTTAACGCCTCCATTGACTAGACACCTAAAGTGCACCAAAACTTAACCCACTTACTAGCCTTTTTAAACTTGAAGTATAAAAAAAAAATCAAAAACTTTAATCCTCTTTAAGTTTTTGAAAACATTTTAACTTCAGTATTAAACTTTTTATAGATATTTTGAAATTTTGTTTTAAATAACCGCAACAAAAATTGATTAATTTAGCCAATTAATAGATGAGCTAGCAAATACAAGTCCCAATGTTTATTCATAAATCACAACAGTGCCATAATTATAAATCATAATTAATTAGAGACTTGCAAAAAACTAATAATAATATGAAAAACTGGAAATAAGCATTTTTCAATAAATTGTTAGGAAAAGCAATTTAAAATTTCATAATTGAACTGTAACATGACATTGAGTTCCGTACTACTCTTCTAAATTTTTTGTCAAACCACAAAAATAAGCAAATGCTTTAAGTCCTGAGCCTTGGTTTATTATGGTTATATGTTACAGGAATTTGTTTAAACAATGCATCTTCACATGGACATACAATAATTTTGTTTGTCAATGAACAGAAAAATATATATACTCTGCAAAACCAACTTTATTTTGATCATAAAAGTAATACAGTTTGTGATGAAAATAGAAATACAACAGTTCTAATGAGGTTTATGTTTTATTGTGGGTATAAGCTACAAACATCTAAAGTTGCGAAAAATAATTGTACGACTAATGTTCTCAGTATTGATCCAGAGATGTGTGATGAAAAAGTTTGTATTTTTTATTTATTTTGGGTCAGAAATGTATTAAAAAATGCATAAATTACAATATCACATAAAAATATTAAAGTTATATATTTAATAAAAAAAAACAAGACTGGTTGAAAAAAGAAATGTATGAGCGTATGGATTATTAGTTAAATGAGATTTTTAAGATTTTGAATTTTAATATGTTTACTGAACTCAACCTTTATTTGTATTTGTCAATTTCAAAACAAACTTAAGAGGAAGCTATCCTTATATGTGTTGTCTCTGTCTTACAAATGTACTAACTGTTTTGCTCTGGATTGAACCATTCAGGCTGTAGTGATAGTTAAGACTCCAAATTGATGTATTTTTTTGATATCACTTTGCACAAAAAAGTTTTCATTGTTTAAAAATCCATTATTTTTGTGTTTTTCAAACTTGAATAACTTTTTTTGCTGTTTTGATATCCAAAAAATGAAAACGATAGTTCACAGCCAAAGTTCTCCTTTTTATGTAGTGAAAATGTTGTTTCTTAGTTATTACTGTAACCTTCTTGGTTCTTTCCCCGCGTAAAACAGTTTTTGCTATGTTTTACATTTGTAAGACAGACAACAGACAACACATGGGGGTGTAGCGTTCTCTTAAAAATGCATAGGATATATTTTAAGATAAGCCTTCTACAATAAAATAAATATAGGCTATAAGAAAGTACTACCATTAATAAAGCTAATTTTAAAGTAATAACTTATAAGTAATACATATCTATTTCATGGTTACAAGATTATAAAAAAATACATTAATTATAGTTGTGTTAGGAAGATAGTTGTTGCAAAATAAAGTAAGACATTGGACTAACAAATGTTCTATTAATGTATTATAGTTGGAATGTAATATAAGTTTGTACGATTTAACACCGATTAAAGGAACTCATATAGTTATTATTAATGGAAGAAAGTATTACCTAAACATATGTATACCCGGAGCAGAAGGTATTGGAGGAATAATGGAAGTCAATAATACAATTTATGTAAGTAAGAAAAAAAAGTTAAGTAAATATTTCTTATACATTTGTAAAATATATATTTTAGTTTAGCAAATTGAATTCTATGCTATTTTAAATTCTGAGCAAGCTGATCCAAAACCAACATATATTTTAAATGTTTTGGTTTTGTAAGTGGTTTTTTGAAATTTTTTGGTTTTGATTTTTAGAATGGCTTTTAAGTTGAGTTTGAACTTTGTTAATAGGAAATCTCAGTGTCTTATTTTCATGTGTTGTCTCCATCTTATAAACTTTCAACAAAGTAAATTTGCATTTATTTAGAACCTATTTTATGTTATTAGCCTTATTAAAATAAACTAACCTATTATCAAATTTTAAAGAACATTATTACTATAATTTTTTTTTTTAATCTGTCAATTTACCGTGTTACTCTACAACTATATTAAGATTTTAGACAATTTATTCTTGTAATAAGTCATGAATGGGATTATGTAAAATTGGTTAAAATGACTAACAAACATTTTTATAAGTAAGTAGTATATTAGGTATTGCAGTTACAAATTATTATATAATATTATCAACGTTCATCGTTGCCTCGTTATTACTTATTGGTTTCATTATTAATTATAAATATAAAAACTTTAAACAAAAATAAAAATACTTCTGCCATGTCCCTCAGAAATGCGTTCAATGTGTCACTTTTATTTATACCTCTCCACCACGTTTCAATAAGATACCTGTAATAGTTATTATATTATAAATAGGTATGTAATTATATTATTATTATATTATAATATTATACCTTGGAAGTAAATCTGGAGTTGTACCACAAATATTTTTCACAATTTTTAGTCTCAGAGGTCTCCACAAACTTTCAATCCTTTGGGTATGTGATTTTGAAATTTTATCTACGATCAAGACTTATACGATGCATTAAAAAATATTGCTAATATTTATTACCATTAATTCTCGATAGTAAAGATAAAAATACAATAAGCGTCCTGTAATTGTGAAGCTTAGGTTATAACATAATAAACTGTAAAGATATGAATTACATATAGTATAGAGTGCATACGACAAGCGTCTCATAATCACAGGTAGACTGCAATCTAGGTAGAGCGCATACGACATGATAGCCATATAAGTTTATTTTATTAAATGAAATCAGGGACACAGCCCTACTTGGGATCACACTCAAGTAGTCAGCTGTTATATAATTTTTGTATTATTATGATTACTGTAGCTTAATTGTAATTGTTATGTTAGAGGACCTGACTAATGACCACGTTACACGTTAGATCATTATAAACACTGGTCAGGATCTATAGAATTAATTTATAATGGCAAGTCTTGTTTTTACCATCCTCATGACAAGACAAGTAATTAAATAAGGTTAATTGAAGGAGTCTGTGTAATAACCAGACAGCTTCATTTTTCGCCGAAGTCGAGTTTTAATTGAATTTTATAAAGCAAAAAATTACGAGATTTTTGTATAAAAACAAGGCAAATCAGACCACCTGTGTGGGAAATATAATATACCTGGAACCTGTCTGAGTTTTTTTTTCTGTTGAGACACCCGTGTGTTTTATGTTCCTTGAAAAGTTTTGAAAAATGGAGCTGTCTGGTTATTGCTCAGACCCTTCTAATTTTAAATGTTGAAATTTGTAATAAGTGTTAAATTAATAAGTCTAGCCAAATCTAAGAGTTTAACAATAATATGTGTATGTTGGATTTTTTAATATTTAAATTTTTAAGTGAATTATAACTTATACCTAAGTATATAAAATATTACAATTTAGGAGTTCTCTTAACTCAATTTAAAATATAGGTATTGTAAAAAACCTAACATACATAATATACAGGTTACCTTACCTTATACTGAAGTTTTGAAATAAGTGAATTCTTTCTAATATTAAAGCTAACAACAGTTATTCAATAAATTATTTGCTTTCGTTAACTTGTATATTGCTTATATTTTTCAGAATATTGGTTATCAATTAACACCATTTAAAATAAATGAAGCGGGAACTGTTGAAATGTATTTCAAAAATGGAGATAGTTGTACTGATTCAAGATTAAAAATAAAAAACACAAAGTATTCTACAATAATAAAATTTATATGTGATATAACTGAAAATGAAGTAAAAAAACAAATTCAATATACCTAACTCATTAGTGACATATTTAAAATTATCATTAATTAATATACAAACATTTTTTTCTTACTACTATTCAGGGAAAACCAATATTTGAGAACAATGTAAACAATTGCACATTCAATTTTGAATGGAAAACTAGTCTTGTATGCAGCAGAAAATTGGTAGAATTTGATAAGGATAAGTGTGCGGCAACTCTTAAAATATCTAGTCAAAATGTTACAAACAATACAACCATAGATTTGAATAATATCTTGAATATTAATAATGTAAGTTAAAATTTAATTTTTATAAAAATAATTCAGATTTAAATGCACTAATTAAGTGCCAATAAAAAAACCAATGATCTAAAATCCCAAAAAAATGCACTTGTAATACATTTTTGTTTTTGATTATACAATAGTTATTAATTATTATTAAATAAAAATAGATCATATTGAGTAGAATTAACAAAAAAAAAATGTTCTACAAAATTATCCAAAATTATTTTTAAAACATGCACTTTAAATATTGTGGTTATATAGTTTGTACTTAAATCATGAAAACGGTCCACTAGTTTTTGAGTCTAGAGCGGACTAGGAAAGAAAGATTCATCAAATAAGATATAATGAATAAATGAACATTATGTTCATATTATTGACTATTTTATGTTTAAATTCTATAATCATCCTAAAATACCTTAGGCCAGTGGTTCTCAACCTTTTTATATTCACGTGCCAACTACCTAGTTTGAAAATTTGTTCGTACCATCTGAACTTTTTTTTACTTATTAATAATGTATACTTTTATTTTATTCGGGTTGAAGAACACAGGTTGAGAACCGCTGCCTTAGACGATATAGGAAATATATTATACAACTGATTTTAGTTGTATTATTTTTCTTCACAAAATCATTAAGAGTTGTAGAATTTCTTCAATAATATATTTTTAGTTGAGGTGTATGAAATAACTTTCAGTTTTTACTTTTTTGATTGATATTTTCTTTTAGTTTTAATAGTTTAACATTTTTACATTTAAAACAAACAATTTGAGTTTAAGATTAACTATGTTATCTATAAAGCTTTTCTTAGATAACTACCAACACAAATTTAATATATGTTTAATATTATACAAACTTTTAAAATAGATCTTTTAATATTGTAATATTTTTAAATTTTAAATTTATAGGGTATTACATAAAAAGTGCAATATTATAAATTATTTAAAATGAAATTTACTTTTCTACTAAAAAAAACCTATATGTGTTAAATATTCAACATTCTTCAAATATGCTGTTTATATGCACTATTAACTTCTCTGCTAAATTAATCTGCCACATTTCTTACTCAAATTTAAATTCATCCTTTAAAGAAAAAAAAGAAAAGCTTACAAATATGGATTCTTTAATAATCCATCATTTTAAGCGGTAAAAATGTATTAAGAGAATATCTTTGCTCTATTTTTTTTTCTTACAGTCTCATTCAAGTGTAATACAATTATTAAATTTTGAGTCTGGTCAAACCATATTTGTGATAGCTTAAGTATTAGAGTGAACTGACCTATTATCAAAGTGAAAGTTAAGAACATAATCTGTGGGTAATTATTTTGTATGACATTGTATTAGTTACACACTGTCTATGTACATTGGATTTTTGTATATTTTGATTTTTATGCAAGTTATGAGTCAAACATAAGAATTTATAGATGCTCAATCTAGCATAATGCAAATGCAAATGCAAATGTACAACCACAGATAATATTCTACTAAAGTTTGATAACGGATCAATAAAATAACCATGTTTTATATTAAAGCACAACACACATTTGCTTCTATAGTTCTATTGAACACAAATTTAATTTACTATGGTGTGTGGTGGGTATCGGTCACAATGAGAAATTGAATAGTGTGCTGCAATGATTATGTTTAATTGAATTAATGTTTTATTTTTTTAGTTCATAGATAACTCAACAAAAACAAATTATCAAATAGATTTTTGCAATGGATCTGTCAGTTTAAATGGATCAATATATTTTGGAAATATGAGTCTTGGATATGATATATTTAAGAAACAATTAATTGCTAATTTTCCAAATACAAATGATAAAAGTAATAAGAATTATGTTAAAATAACTACCTTATCCAATGAAAATATATATTTTAAAAATATTTGTTTTAGATTTCACAAATATGGAAATTATTGTTGTATGCACCAAATCGACAGAAAAATTATCAACATTTCAAGTTGTTTCAACAAATGTTAGTTTACCATGTCAAATAATCCATATTTTTCGGAGTGGCCGAGTGGATAACGCGTCGATTGCAACGCGCACTGTCGCCGGTTTGAACCTCGGTCACGGGCGGCACTTCTCTCCGGGCAGTCACAGTGTCCGAAGAGAGAGGCCGCCATCCCCCAACCAGGCCCACTAGAAATTCTGCTAAACAAATACACACGTGTTCCGTAACCCTACAGTTCCAAAAACCCTACAGTACCACAACCTATAGCTAATGGCCTCAGTTGTCGAAGCTTAAATCAATTTTTAAAAAAAATCCATATTTTTTAAATTCCATCTCAAATGTCTCTATAAACTTACTAAAGGCATGCACTCGGGGTGTGCAGAGTATATCCCTAATATCCCCTTGAATAGTTTTTCTTTCTTAAATATTTTAATAAATTTAGTTTTCACACGACTGCTTGGAAAGATATATATTGAAGGAGTTGTTTACGGTTTTACAACCCATGAGGTGATTTAAATTAAGGCCACTTCAACTTAAGTCAATGAATATTTTTTTAAGTCAGCATTAAGTTACTAAAAAATAAATACCCCAGCTGTTTTCACAAATGATAAAATGCATTAAGTTAATCCAGAAATAATGTGTATTAAATATTATATTTAGTTTGTTAAATTGAAATTCTGGTATTAAACAATTTTTTACATTGCCATACCTTGTCATGGAAGTTGTGGACTAAACAATAATCATCAACTGTTGACATTTGTTTGAAAATATACAGAGATTTTAAAATACTTCAAATTTAAGTTTGGATATTTAAGAATTTTTAAGACTCATTGTTTAATTGGTAATTTTATTTCATATAAATTAAAATTGACTTTTTTTTTAGAGTGGAGTAAGAATCTATGCATACTCTAAAGGTGTGTGTTGTATGAATTTCAATGATCACACATATACAGAAATGTGTAGAACATATCAATTAATTGCTATATCAACTACAAATACTGTTGAAAATCAGCTATCTATGAGTTCAGAAAATAATAAATCAATTGAATCTAATTTAAAAATTATTAAAATAGAAGTACCGATATTATCAATTACCGAACAAATCGAAGAATCTGTGACACTTGCAAACTATAATACAACCTTACAACAGTTCCATGGTAATATTGACATTAATCATTTTTATATGAAAAATAATCGTTAAATAAACTATTTAGGTAAAGATGGGATTTCTGACAATTTTACGGGTATACCAATTACGAAAAAAGAAGTGTCTGGTACTTCATTTTATACAGGTAATAATATCAATATAGGTAGTAGATAAAAATTATTATTATTATAATTTTTTAATACCTCCTAAATTATCCAAATTCTATTAAAAAAATAATATTATAGTATGTAGGTATTATTTTAGGTTCAGGCCAATTCTTAGTTCTTGGATATCAATTTCTCACAAATTTCTCTAGAAATTTTACTTAAACAGTTATACACTTATTAAAACAAACTATAAAACATTCTTCATATTAATTTAAACAATAAAAATACCCTTAGTATTTAATTGGTGGGTATTAAAAGTCAAAATTTTGTGGAGGTAATATTTCCATTTAATATAGATTGTGTGTGAATATTAAAAAATGGAGTTCACTTCAACCAAACATCTTACTATTATTTACTTTAAAATTACTATTAAATACTAATAGTATTTATTATTTATTGAAAACACAAATTATGTAAATAGTAATCACTTATCAGTAATAAGACATGTATATAAGTTCTGCCTAATTTTTTTTTTAGTTATAGTACTAATGGTTTTAGTGTCAATACCATTGACATGGGTTTACCGCTGGAAGTTACTGAAGGAAATGAGAAAAATTTCTTATTCTCTACCATTTGTAAGTCATTGAACTATTGAGCTTTGAATATTATTGGTAGTTTTGACCAATTAATTCAACTTATTCAAACTCAATATTTGATAAATATTTGATAAGCTTATTTTCATGTTTCAGGTCAGGCGGAGACGAGGAAATTATAATCGTAATTTAATGTAAATGTCAATTCTATATTTATTGTATTCTTTATAAAAGTTATTTATGGTTAAAAAAAATGTTCCTTAATATTTTTGAAAAGTTTCTGTTGTAAATGTTGTCTGTTTTACAAATTAATAGAAAATTAATTATTTCTTTAGTGCTTGGTATATATTTTTTCTCATTGTATTTATCCAATGAAGATTTGATTGTACATTTAGTAATTTATCTATTAATTATTTACTCCAAATGGCAGTGACAAAAGGTGTTAAACGGATTAAATAAATTAATACAACAATGCAAACAAAACAGTAATATAATGTACCTACTATAATAATAAATACCTTCAAATAAAAATATTGAATAGAGTAAATCTAGAAGGTAGGAGTTAAATGTTCTGAGCATGTGGAGAAGGGCGCGGTTATGGCTGTAAAAAGTATTGTGACTGAGAATAACGAAAGGTAGCTGGTTCCGCCTTTCCGGGTAGGAACTACAGAACTCTAAAGCACTTTTTCAAGAATATCTGGAGTATACAGATACATAATATCCATTTAACAAGTTTTATCACTCAATGCATATACCTATTGAGATCAATAATAAATCCATAATAGTTCTGTTGTACTTATAGTACACAATCACAATCAATTAATTGGTTAGTAGGCCATTATTGCATTTTTGTGGAACAAAATGTGTCAATGCAACAACACATTATTCAAAAGGATCCCCCCTTAAATGAAATACTTTAACAACTTAAAAAAAAGTTTATTAAATATAATATTACAATTATTAATGTACAGTATTTTCAGTACCTTTAAAGTTTAAATTTCACTCCAGAAATATTGTTTATCTACAGCTCGGATAATACTCTTAGGCAAGCACTGTTATTATTCATGGGCCAAATTGCCCTATACCTCAATCATATTAGTATAGTACATAAAACAAAAATAAATATTACTCAAATAATTGTCATAAATATTTCTTAATTACAAAATTCGATTTTAGATAGTATTTTTCAAGCGAGTTTGAAAAAAAATTGAACTATTCACTAGGTATGTTGTTTAATATTGTGTATCTAATACTTATACATATATACACCAGGGCTTCAAAACGTTAAAATGGAATAAATTTTGATGTGTCGTATTTATAAAATTGTTGACTAGAGGGCCGATGATAATGTAAGGGCACTACCTGATTTTAGTCTGTGCATACCTATGATAAATGATAATACTACAATATTCGTTACTCCAAGCCATGTCTACAGGATGTAGACCTTGGTAAATAAGTGGCTTCAACAGTTTTAAAAATCATTCATATAAATTGTACCTGCTGTCCAGATACATTTATATTGTGTTAAGAATCATCCATTTGACATGTCAGTAACAAGATAACAGAGTTGCAACATATTCACTTTTTGTCACTATATTTTTTTCACTTATAGCTATTTAATATAATGTTTCTATACAGATAACAAAATTAATTATGTAATACTTTCCTTAAAATATTTTTTTAATAATTCAATTTTTGTTATTTAATTATATTCATTTTAGATTCTGAGCAAAGTGATCAAAACATAAAATATATTTAAATTTAGCATGGAGTTTAATTTTATATCAATCAGCACTTATCCAGGATCCCACTCGATCAAATGTAGACATTAATCTTGACCTTAAACTTGATTTTAAAAAGTATGAAGTGCATATTCTTAATGAAACATCTAGTCATGGACTTAAACTGTATGAAAAAATGGCTTCTTATTTTTCTTTTACACTAGATAGCATATGATATAATCACTTGACTGCATACTAATTAGTATACTTAATCAATGCTTATACTATGATAAGGTCAATCGTTGACTGTCACTTTACATTGTTGAGCAAAATCTTAAGAACAAACCCTGTGTTCGAGATCCATCATAAATCATAATACAGTAATATATTATAAATTATGCCATGTTTGATAATGATATTATAATGTAATTTGTAGCACAGAATAACGTTGGAACTTTCAGAAGTTCAGAACAAACAATACATACATGAAGTAATTGCTACGTAAAAACAATAATCATTATTATTTTGTATGCTGTACACGTTTCTAAGGAATATATTATATTGGTAATAGTTCACATGAAAATTGAGTAACAATGGATATGGTCGGTATATTATATATTATTGTTAAATAAAATTATTTCAATATATAAAGATAAATAATAATTACAAAATTATTAGGTCTTTCAATAAAAAATACTGTTATATAATAAAATAAATAATAATAGTTTATCGTAGATTTTTCCTTAAAAGTTACGAATACTGTCTTATTTATTCGTCCGTAAATGTTACATAAAAAAATAAAAGTTTTATTACAAACAATTGGTTTATACTCGACAACAACAAGGTGCGCCCACAGTTAAAAACAATCTGGAATTTTCATCACTAACAGCTTAAATTAAAGTAAATGTATAAAAATTGGTCCATAATGAAATGTAGGTGGTTTTTTTGTTATTCGAATATAATATAAGAATGGAAAAAAATATATATTTATATAATAATAATAATTAATAGTGATCACAATTTGTTACGCCTAGTAATACTATAAAATATATAATAGGAATGAGGGATAATTCAATATATAAATAAATATATAATTAAAGATTAGCTGCTAATGTTTTATATATTTTTTTTTTTTGATGATTATTACTACGACGTTTGTTTATCTGTAGACTTGGTACGTTTTCGGCGTCTCTTCTTCCCAGACGGATTGGACTGTTTCTTTTCTAATGATATATCTTCTTCTTCAGCAGCCTCTTCAATTGGTACTTCTGGTACTTAAGACTCAGGAGTACTCAACTCGAGAGATACTATTTTTTCTTTGGTTGTCTCCACCTTAACGTATACAAAAATAGTCGACACACATTAACAAACCACCATTATGGCCACTATTGTTTCTAAGATATAACAACATCATCTATTAATTATATAATATTATTACACAATAAACCATCTAAATTCGTGATTTTTCTTCTTTTTTTGGATGAATACACTACTTACATGCAAAAATACTGTGTGGAATAAAAACTTATTGACTTGATAAAAGAACTAATGAAGACAAAGAAAAGAAGTGTTATTATTATTGACTTATTTGACTCGTATCTTAGTGCAACCATGCAGCATGCTAAATACGGTATGTAATATACAAATGTATAAAACAGTAAATAAGAATTCAATTGTGTAGGTACAGAGACAGAAAATTGGTGCGAAATTCAGAAATGAGGTAGGTACTAGGTACTTGATTGTGTACGGTATTTAGGTACCTCTTTCTCAATGACTTTTTCAATAATTTCGACAGTCCTGACTTTCAGCTGACCGGAAATGTGGTCAACATACTGCTCGGTCCGTAGAGAAACACTTTCGCCGACGACTGTCTCGCGTTCCGACACCTTGGTCTGGACAGGGGACTCGCGCAGGCGCAGGCGAGGAAAGTCCTCGCTGGTCGGCCGCAAGCACTAATTATAGCCGCCACCAAAGGCCAATTAGTTTTGATATTAATATGTATGTTTATTAGAGTTTATTATTATGTATACATATTAAAATACATGCTAAATAGTAAATAGTAACAGTTGTTTATTTGAATAAAAAAAATAAAAAAACATGAATTAATACAAATTATTAAAAAAAAAATAACAAGCTAATTAATTTTTAAGTTAAAAAATAATAAAACAGCAGTTAATAATTATGCCATAAACAAATGGGTTTTTAAATCATCCCTGTAACCAAAAAGTGATTAAGTGCAAATATATATGCATATATTTTTAATTTAAATTTTATATTTTTGTTTTCTTCACTTAGTTACTTTTTGCATGTTGTCAGCAAATATTGTGATTTAGACATGCAAAAATTGACTAAGTGAAATAATACAATAATTATGAAGTTATAAAAATGTCAAATTTCAATAAATAAAATCATAATAATTTTCACTAGATCACTTTTTGCATGATGGTGACAATATATTATTATTATTATATATAAATAAAAAATAATAACATGAATCCCTTTTTCACTGGATATCATGAAGCTCAATGTTAGACAAAATTAAAAAGCAATGAGATGAGTCTTATCATTATATTATGTTCTATTTTTTTTTAAATTTAATTACCTCCAGTGCTTTGTTTTCTATACATTCTTTTGATTGAGTGTCTGGCATTTCATCACTATCAGCATCACCGCCGTTTGTTGATTTATTTTCGCTTATCTCACTCAATTCTTTTATTACTATTTGTGCTTGTAAAGCGTCCTTAAATAATACAAATTATATTTGAAAATATTAAATATTTTGTGATTTTAGTGATCTAAGAGCATAATATATTATATTATTATATTACTTGTTCTAAAGACTTTAATCGGGCTTGTCGCCATGCAGCTTTTTTTTCAGCATTAAGTGAACGTTGTTCGGAAGGAGAAAGCTCTTTGTTGTTTTCATTGGATACAATTCCCTTAAAAATATAAATAGTATATATATATATTTTTTTTTTTATTAAATAAAGTTTTACTGACTATGTCATCTTAACTTATTGTTAATTAATACATTTTAAATAGTATATTATAATTATATATAAATTTACAAGATCCATTTTTAAAAATCTTTTTTAAACTATACCTCTTGATTTAGCCTTTCTTTCATTCGCTTCTCAGCTTTAGCTGTTCGTACACACATGTTAGTATTGACATTTCTCGGTAACTCAATACTTCTAAAATATAAATTATAGTCAATTTCCTTCAATAGTAAAAAAAATAGTAGATTAGCATACAGTGTGTTTTCAAAAATTAAAGCACCACCATCATTATCATCTTCATCATCATCATCACCTTCTTCAATAAATTGTTCATGTTGATTTAACCTTTGTTTCATTAATGTACCCATTTTTTGCTCTATAAATTATTCATAAGCATGTAAATCAACAAATTAAAGACAATGGTGTTAATAAATAAAGGTAGGTCAAACTTAAAAATATGGTCTCAAATAGTACATTTTAATTGTATGTTTAATTTGAACCGAATAATGATATGTTCTATATTACTGAGATTTTGAATGAAGTTAAGAATCAGACATTTTGTACTCTGTCTCAAAATAACAATCACTTTTTGAGCATCATGAATGATCCATTTTTTTTTTGGAGTTAACTAATTCTTAGGAGTTTGGATAAGTTTCTGAATTTCAAACTTGAAACAAAACTCTTAAAGTTTGGTTTGATTTTTTTAAAATTCAAACAGTTTGACCAATCTCTATTAATAATGTGTTTTCAGACATAATTAAATACCTTCTTCTTGTTTCATTTTTTCTACTTCGTCTTGGCTTAGGAAACTAAATACTCTTTCTATAACACAATATCATAAAGCAATCAAGTATGAATTAAATTGTTTTTCAAGTGATAAAAGTTGAATCTACAAACCAGGTTTTGGACTAGGATTGTGGTGTTCTTCCATAGCTTTTTCAAAAAACTTCTTCTTATCACTAACTGAAGCTTTGAGACCAGTATTTTGCTAAAAATATTACATGTTATAAACATTATATTGTAATATAAATTAGTCTCATACTAATTAAATTTATTATTTATGTATATTAAACTATGATAAAAATACAGCTTTCATAAATTAATCTAAAAGCTAAAATTATTGCTATTATAAAGTATAAGATACTGATAAATAATTTCTACACAGTATAAAGAAGATCGTACCTCACAGGGATTAACTGCATTGTAATATGTCAAAAGTGACGGGGTATCATTATATACTTCCAACCAGTGAGGAATGGACGGGTGTGTGGAATAATTTAAGGGAGGTGGTTCTAGGGATTGTGTAGTGTCCAAGGATGAGCTACTTTCAACATCTGTGAAGTCTGGAACATAAAACTGGTCGGCTGGCAACGTATTCACTTTGGTAACATAAGGCATCATTTCTACTTGAATAGGTTTTGGTCGTTCCACAACGACTGTTCGCAGAGGAGGATGAGGGTTATCACGAGGAACATCTTGGAAATGTATATGTTTTGGTGGCCGGAAAGAGGATTTTGATGGGGGTGGTTTTTTGGGAAGAGATGGTTTAGGAGGAGATGGGTTTGAAGGGGATATGTTAAGCCGTTTCTGAATAACTACCTGTTAATGTTCATGCAAAAAATAATAGCAATGTTAATGTATTTTGGCTGCATTATTTTTTAAATTAGTAGTATGAATAAATTTGTTTTACAGTTAAACACCTATTTATACCACTTGAATTTTTATTTTCAAATTACATACATGCAGAGTAGTAATTAGTAGTAATTATTAATATAAATAGGTCCAGTAGTATGTGCTTATTTTATTGCTGGTATAAAACTATATTATAACAAATATAATATATACCATAAAATTACACAAGAAAAAATTAATTTTATTTAAAATACAATGTTATTTAAAGTATGGACATTGTTAGAAATTTAACTTTAGGACATGGGGAAGTTTACAACATTAAGCAATGATAACAAATATATATAAAAAAAAAACAATTTAGGTTTAACATTTATAATATATTATATAAATCTATTTGTGTTAAGAAAATAATTAAATTAATATGAACTAAATTAAAATTATTATTTAATGGTCCGCTCAATATCATAAAATTAATTATTAAGTATGTGAATGGAATTACTCACTCAGTATTGGTTCATTAAGTATACTATTTATACTTAAACATTATTATACATTTTTATTTTTATTAATATGATGAGAAAAATTCTTAGATCAGTAATAACTTGATGTTGTTGAACTTGATTAAATGCGATCACAAAATGCTTAAAAATAAAGAACAAGAGAAAAAAATTACAGAGTAAATATTTTGTAGTTTAATTTGTATAACTTTAAACTATCTTAGAAATATAATGAGATTAATTGAGAAAAAATTCCCTTGTACTGTGTTTGAGATGTTATAATCCGGTCACAGATTTAATGACACACTGAAAATAACAAATTAAAAGTAATATTTAGAAACCTTAGATTATAGTACCAATAAGCAAATTTAAAGTTTTCTCATTCTAAATTTTTTTTAAATAAAATAAATAAAATAATTTATTAAAATATTATGAAATGCATAAATAAAATATTCAAATGACAGAACAAAAATATTTATATAAATCATTGATATTAAAAAAGAAAAATTTTAATGTTATATACACATACAATTACATAATCTAGATGCTAAATTTTTAGTTAGAAGTTCTATTTTATTGTAATTATTTACATTCTTATAAAGCAATTAAAACATTTTTTAGCGCATTAATCATACTTCAATTTAAATATAATAATCAAATTAAAATGAAAATAGTTAAAAAGTAGTAATTTGATTTAGATATGACTACTTTGTTTTATGGACATTACAATTTTAGTCAGAAACAATGATAGATGTTATAATTGTAAGCTATGTTATATTCAAATAATTGAGTCTTAAATATTTTTATGGAAAACTGAAGAAATTTAGGAGAATTGAAATCATGTATAAATAATGTTGATTATTTACAGAAACTATTTTTACAATGTTTATTTCATAAATTGTAATTGCAAGATTGAAATACCTAATCTATGTTTTATAAGATTAATTTTTAAAAAATGTCATATAGTGTGCAGCACTAAAGGCAGCAATACCTAATGAGTCAAATGAGTAGCTTATTAATAGGCATTTCAGATTTGTAATATCAAAGGATTTTTTTATACATTTCCACTGGTCCTCAAAGAGATCTCAAATACTTCTATCATTGAATGTACTTCATACATTTTTACAAACATTTATAATTATTTGGGATAAAAACATATTCTTCAAAACATTTAAATAAAAAAATTATTATCGGAAAGTTAAATTGTTTGTTTCATAGTATTGGGCAAAACTTGAAAAATATTGATTAATAAAAAAACTATAATAATAACAATAAAATAAAAATATATGCAAAAGCATGCAAAATAATTAAAATCAAATAGATAATAAAAAATAAGCATTTTCTGAAATAAAATCCAATTTTTGTATATGATATTTTTAGAATAAAATTTATCTTAACAAATTCATATAAATAAATAAGAGCATATGTATTTTATTACTCGGGATACATACAACTAATTAAATAAGTACTCTTAAAAGAAATTCTATAATAATTCAAGACAACTTATATAAAATATGGATTGCATTAATTTATAATTTTAAATACATATTATTATTATAAAAAAAAAAAATGAATAAAAATTACAGTCAAGTTAAAGATAACTCAAATCTCAAGGGGGATCAAATAAATTTGATTTATGTGTTTTTAAATTATAAACCATACAATAATATAACTTATAAACATTTCAGGAAACAAGAAAAATGTTCTATAGTATAGTTATATTATAAAGTTTACAAATTATTAGGACTTGTATATACCTTAACTGAAGCGAGAATTTAGTATACGTTTTTCATAATTTATGAAATGTCATTCAATAGTAATAATATATTTCAGTTTTTTAAATAAATAATGAATGTACACACTATTATCTATTCTATACATACATATTACTTAAAAATCTTATTTACAGTTTTTAGTTAATAATTATTTAATGAATTCATAAATATATTTAGAACTATTATGAGAGGACTACGAATAGAAAAATGTTATCAGGTAACTTAATTTGATTATTTTTAAATTATATGACATAGCTAATCAATTATATTCAATCAACATTTTATATAATTAACAATTAAATTTCAAAGATTTAAAAAATATTATCATAATTTATGAATCCATATAGAATAGAATCAAACATTGCATTTAATGTTTAAATTAAAATATGAAGTAGTTTATATTTTAAATATTATAACAACAAAAAATAAAACATTACTTTAGAAGTTAACAACCATAGAGCAAATACATAATATAAATATTTTTTTTTATTAAGTTGAGCTTTGGCAGCTTAGCCTTGGCTCACAGTTTTTGTTTATTAAATGATCAAAGCAAAAATATTTTCTTTAAATAGATAATTAAGCGAAATGGTCAAAAGATACTTATAAATTGTTTACAACAGTAGTACTTCTAAGAATAAATGATAAAATAATATACTTAACATAATATATTCATAGAGAAATAATGTACAATATTATTTTAATGCTTCTGGAAAATTGGAATATATTTTAATGGATTTTCATCTCGTATTTTTAAAATAAAAGTAAATATATATTTATAAACATATACATTTTCTACATCAATTAAAAAATATTTAGCAGCCAAAATAAGCACATGCTACGCAATTAAAGAAAGTAAAATGTAAAAGCGGTATCTTCACACCACAGACAATATCAAGGAAATCTACTAAAGCACATGGCAGCATCAAATATATTTTTTATATCTGAGCATTTGTACACTTACTTGATCAGATTGAGGGGCTAAGGTATGTTTACTCATTACTATAGTTGTAGTTTTTTGAATATCACCTGATTTTGGCCCACCGGGAGATTTAGGTTTTATAGAGTTTGAATCAGTCGAGTTGAGCGTCAACATTTCAGCAGCTCGTACTACATCTAAAACCTGAAAATCAAATTGATAAAAATAATCCATAATCTAAAGATAATAGTTTTTAATATTTACTTTTTCTTGAGTAGATTTTTCTTTAACCTCGTCTAATTCCATACTTTCTAGCTCTTCTTTAAGTAATTTTTCTTGGTTTTCCCATTCAGCTAATTCTTTTTTAATTTCCATTTCTTGTTTAATTACTTCAGAATCATCATCATCTCTATCTAAGCTAGAGACACTCTGAGATATCGATCTACTCTCTCGTCTGAGTTTACCTTCATTGACCAATCGTTCAACTTCTGCTTTATCATAACCTTTACATACAATCATGTGAATTTGTTGACCAGCGGTCCGCAAACAGTTAACAGCTTCTTGGTGTGTAACACCCAATAGAGATACATCATTAACTTCTAACAGACGCATGCCGACCTGAACAAAATAATAATAAAATACAAACTGGAAATGAAGATATTTAATATATATTTATGTATAGGTACAAGGTATTTCTTTTTTAATGGACCACTCTTTATTTCAATAAGAATTAATGTTTTTGAAAATATTTATCTTACAAGGTCTTAAGTAGTTACAAAAAACAGGGGTTTTTTAATCCTTTATAATTTTTTGAATGACAACCTATAGTTTTTCCAAAGAAAAATATATTCCTAAGCATTTTGATACATAAAATTCAGAATTTAGAATGAGTAATTTATTAATTTTAAGTGTTGAAGGTTTAGATGAGTGGAGTAGTGGACCAACATTTTGTGCGACAACTGTGTACCATTCCACTCAACTCATCAACTCTTTAAATATGTATAACTCATAAACTACTGGTCTTAAATTCGATTTTTATGTATCGAATTACCAAGAAAAAAATTCTCATTTTCAAAATTAAATTAAAACTGTATATTATCATTCAATAAAGTAAATTATATAGATAAAAAATATTTAAAAACATAACTATTTTTTAAGTAGTATATAAAAAAATTTCCAGAAACATAAATAGTTTTTGAAATAATGAGTAGTTCTTGATAAAAAAAATCAAGCTGTATAAAATTTAAATTAAGTTTACTTTTAATCGTCCATCTCTTTTAGCTGCACCGCCAGAGTTAATTTTTGAGATGAAAACACCTTCATCAGTTTTATCAAGTGGATTACCTCGATGGCCTCGAAGACCACCCTTGATATGCATGCCAAGTTTTTCATTTGCTTCCCGGACAATTGTCAATTCCTAATATATTTATGAAATAGGTTATTATTATGAATAATGTTTAAGATATACCACAGTATATTTACTTGCTAATACATTGTATACTTGAATTATGACCAACTTATTTATATAAATAATAAAGTACTTTTAGAAGCATGTCTAAAAGTGATGGTAATTTTAGGATTGAAACTAATTAAAAACATTGATATTTCAAGAACGACGTAAACAATATTTATTATAAATTAGTAAATTTGATTATAGCAATGATATAGCTTTTATGATTTACCACTATGTATTTTTTTAATTTGCCAATAAATTATGATTTACATGCCATTACCCATTTTTTATGCAAGTATGGATGGGTCTTGGATTTGTATTTAATGTTTTTATCAGGCAAATCAGAGATGAGTAGTGGGCATATTAATATTAGAATTATAAGAGAAAATAGTTATTTTGATTTCAAATAATTACTTGGAAGTTGTCTGGAAGAGGGTCGTGTTGTACTGTAAGAGTAATTTCTTCAGTTGGCTTTAAAAGAGTTAATACTGCATCTTGATGTGTCATTTTTGTGACATCTTCTTCATTTACTTTTAATAAACGGTCGCCCATACGTAACTTTCCTGAACTTTCAGCTATGCCACTACGAACAATCTATAACCATAAAAAACCTCATGATAATAAAAATAGTTTTGTTAGTATACATAAATTAAATATAATGCGTTAAACTAAATTTATATAAAATTAATATTTTACTACTAGTATATATTTACATGAGAAATAAAAATTCCATGTTCTTGTAATCCAAATGGTATGCATGGATGATCTGTTCCTCCAATTATACTGAAGCCCCAAGAACCTCCTTCTTTTACTAAAGTGACATTCTAATAAATAAATAAAAGTAATTTATGCAATTTATCAGTATATAATATATAATTAATTATTTCTTTTTTAAATTATAAATATTTATAACATTTTATAACTGACACACAAACATTTGTTTATAATATAAATTAAGTGACACATAATTTTGGAATCTACGTGAATTTATATACCTACCTGAGTTCTTCCTTATAACCTTCACCGTGCTTGCATGTTTAAATCAAAATTAATGGTAAATATTTATGTCTTATAAATTTATATAGCTAAGCAGAATTTTAATGAACAGTATAAATAAAACCATGCAGTATAAAAGTTCAAATTATAAACACCACCAAAACACTTTTAATGTACATTAAAGGCATTTTTAAAAAGTTTAGATTAAAAATATTGATTTAGATACTATACTTGAAACTATAATATAATTAAATAAATATTCCAAATTTCTGTTAAATTAAAAAAAAAACAGTTAATCAAATAAATGTTTCAATATATTTTAAATACGTTTTTATATACATTTAAAACTATTTAATAAAACTAAATAAAAAGCTATTATTAGATGGAAACATTCAAACAAATTATTGAATAATATCAATCCAATAAATTATCAAAATGTTTATTTTATATTTTCAACATTACAATATTATGATGAATAATAATGGCATTACATTGAGTTGATAAAATGATAATATTAAACAGAGAGAATCGAGAAATGTATTAGTTCTCAATTATTTTTTTTTTATAACACTTATCTGTTAAAAGTGATTGAAAAGTTTTATGTAACACCTTAAAAGATTGAAAAGAAAGTCTGAGAAGTACTATCCATCTTAAGTGGTTCATAAGTATGGCAATTGAAGAAATAGAAATATGATTTATGATTTTCTTTTTTCTAGACAGTTTCTGCAGGAGCCAGGAAAAAAACCAGTACCAATCATCAAAATTGTATTAAAAATACAGAGTTCAGTGACTAACATCCAAACATTTTTGAACACTATTTAGAAATTTGTATTCAAAAATTATAAACTAGGATTTAGCAATATTCATAAAAAATATGAAGACAATTATATTAAAAATGCAATAGAAATAATTATTATGACAACACTCCAGCCAATTTATGTTGCATTGTTAAAAGACAAATTTCGAAGGGATCATGCAGTTTTAGTAATATAATAATAAACAATGTTGTATAAACTCATGTTTGTGTGTCAAAAAAAAAAAAAAAATAATAAATATAAATAACATACTGAAATTATACATGGGTATTGAGTATATAGCAAGACATAATTTAAGAAGTTATGCAAAGTATTAATTTGATATTGTTTATTTATAAACATTATTTATCTTTAAACCACAGACACACACTTTTCATGCACATTTATTATATCAGTCACTTTTCATGCCTTAATAAACCATACAGTGATGAAAAGAAAATTATAAACCATCACCAAATTTAATAATGATGAATAAATTGTTATTTATTTACTTACCTCAATAATGACAGATTTAGCTAAATCGTTATCTGTCACCCTAGTCACCACAGTTTCAGTAAATGTACTTTTGGTTATAGTTTCAGTGACACGACCTAAAGTAGTTGGGCTCTCCCTGAATTCTATTCCATTCAAAGTGCTGGGCTTTTTGATAGTTAGTGTAGTAACTACAGCAACTGGCTGCTCTTCAACTTGATTTCCACTATTCTTTAGAAAACGCTGTGGAATCATAGCTTCAAAATCTTGGTTGGTCAACGGCTTAGGCTATTATATAGCGAAACAAGGTACCCCAATAAATTGATTTATTAGTAGTTTATAGTTATAAATAAAAATGAAGAACATGTGCATAAAACCATAACAAAGTTTGTGTGTCAATTTTAAAGTAAGCTAATACCAATCAAAATAATAAATATGAAAATTTACTTGTACGCTTTCAGAATCAGAACTGATAGATGATGACTGAGAAACTAATTTCCTTGGTGCAGGCTTTGGTGGAGTTTGTGGAGGTGCTGGAGGAGGGGTCTTTGGAGACATGTATGAACGAGATTTAGTGGAAGCAATACTTGGTGATATAGAATTATGTGATTCAGAATCTGAGTATCGACCATCAACTATTCGCTCACACACAAGACGCACAAACCGTTCCAATCCAGTTAACATTGATACAGCTTGATCATGACGAGCACCAGCCACGTCAATACCATTTATCTTTATTTATCATAATAATTATAAAATATAATACATTTAACACAAAAAGTAATGCAAAAGAAATATTTTACATACCGATATAACTTGATCTCCAACTTGTAACTTTCCATCTTTTTCAGCAGCACCACCTTCTGTAATTCTTGATATAACAATTGGCTAAAAATGAATACATATTATAACATGTAAGTTATATTTTTTGAAAGCTATTAATTATTATTACCTCATTATTTTCTTTAGAATGACTAGAACCTTTTCCGCCAGCTATGCTAAAGCCAAGACCATTCTGGTCTCTTATTAAAGTCGTATACACAATTTGTTTTTTTGTTGAATCTAATTCTTTTAAAGGCTCTGGAGTTTTTCGATTCTTTACGTAAATAATAAAATATAAGTATATAAGACTAATCTGTATATATATTGTAATAAAATAATGGAAAATTACCCTATCTAAAGTATAGCCATTAGTATGTTCATAATTGTTCTGATGTGAAATAACACTTGGTGCTCGACTATTACTCAGACTGGATGAAGCTGATTCACCTGGAATGTGTATAGCCCATTCTTTTGGTAGTGGGTTAGTTTCTCTTAACACTTGAAGAACTAAAACTGACCCACAAGAACGTAAAACTTCAACTGATGTATAATGATCAACATCAACTAATGACTGACCATTGGCTGTAAGAACTTTGTCTCCAACCTAAACAAAAAAATAATTAAATTTTAAAACTACATTTTTTAAATTAATATAAATAAATATTTACTCTAAGCCCAGCTAATTCAGCAGGTCCATCAGGTGTGAGTCTGGACACAAAAATACCTTCATCGTTTCCCTTGAAAGGTGTTGAATTTCTACCACCAGCAATTGATAATCCCAGACCAGCAGATGTCCTTTCAATTCTAACTTCAAATAATTCTTCTTTTCCTACCATTTCGCCATCTACAACAACAAGTATAAAAGTAATGTTTATATTACATAATATTATATGACTATATGTGATACAAATCGAATCATAGAAACACACCGCATTTCTTGTAAACTAATATTCTAACTCTTTTAGGATAAGTTTTCTTTTTTCCATTTGGCATGTGTTTAACAGTTGACATAAAAATTGATTTCATTTTGTACGTTTTTACAGAACAAAAACATAATAACTGTATATTTACCTAGAGCAGTTTGATCTACTAATGACTCTGGTGGAGTGGGAAACAACACCGAACTTTTATCTTCAGATAAGGAGTTTGACGTGTTTTCATTTTCAAGACTAACCAATTGTGCCTCCTATGAAAACAAACAAAAGAATAAAACAAATACACTTGAGAAAAATTAACTTAGTTTAGTATCAAATGATAAATAAATTGTTTAAATATCAGATTTACATTTAATGTTTAGTTTTACTTTAAGATTATACCTGTTGTTCAATTAAATTAGCATCTATAGTAATTCTTTTATTTTTCAAATGATGAGGCGTATCTCTTCGATGTAATTTCATAGGTCTATTTTGAATATCAGCATCAAAATTTGAAGATGGATGGAAAACTACACTCTTTTCCTTTAAAATTACCAAAAATATTAGTGAGGCTGTAATTTATTTTATTTACTTAAAATAAATAATAATAAACCTCATAATTGGTGTCTTCTTCTAAAATACTATTTGTTTCTACAATGGATTCTACTTCTTCTGAATGTTTTTCATTTATTACTTCATTTCCATTGCTTTTTTCCTATAAATAAAAATTATGATTTTATCTAATTAAAATATCAAATATATTTTCTTACCGTAGAATCATCTCCTTTTTGACTTTCAGTTAAACTACTTTCATTACTTCTGGTCTTACCAAACAGCTTTGTTGCTTTAGCTTTCAGCTCTCTGGGATGTGGTGTGTTGTGTCGCACAAATGATGTCTGAAAATAACAACCACATAAAAGTTAGAATATTTAATTATTAGAGATGAATATATATTTGTTTTTTTTTAGTGAGAGTGGGACAAGGTCAACTATCAATGAATAGAAGTTAATTGACCAATCTATACAATGTACAACTTTTTTAATATTTAATTTCTATGCATCTTAAAATATATTAAATAATGTAATTTATATTAGAATAAAATATCAGTTTACATGATTGAATGAGGTTTAAATCTATTGTTTAAGTTAAAATAAAGAGAAGATATATTGTTATTACTTGTGCTTGAATTTGTACGTAAATATAAACAATATAATTTAGTACAAGCTAATAACTTTTAAATGCGATAAACGATTAGATGATCAGTAAAATTAGTTAGTTTTTGCAATCTATTTTATTTTCATATATTGTTTAAATGACCCATGTATTCCATTAAAATTTTAAATTGATTACAAATTTATAAATGTAGTATGTAGTGAGTAAATTTAATCTTATTTGCTAGAATTTTAGAAATTAAAAATGCTTATAACTATGTAATAACCATTATATACTAGGTAGTCTTTAGTATCTAAATTATGATGTATGAGAATGTGAGATAAGTTATTTCTTTTAAAACTTTATTGATATCAAGACAATAAAAAAATATTTTAAGTTGTTTAGTTAACCGTAGATGAATTAATAATTATAATAAAAATATATGTACATACAATTTTTAAATATTAAAAATGTTAGCGTAATTAATTTTTTAATTTGAAGATCAATTCTCAGGAATTCACACAAAATGTTAAAATCAATTGTTTCCTAAAAGTAAATATATATCATATATATATATGTATATATTTATATACATATCGAAAAAGGAGTATGGTATCAGAATTAATTGGCTGGACGGGTATCAGTCAGTTGTTACTAATGTTAACTTCGGCTCATGAAAAATCACAAGGCATGCTTGGGCACACCCTGCTGCATGCTACCCATGAGCATAAAATAGTAAGTTTAAAGTTCAGATAAATCTGTTTATCTATATTTGTTTAAGTGTATTGACATGGGTACTATTAACCTTAAAGGGAAGACTAAAATATCAAAAGTTTTTTTTTTTATATTTTAATTTTGAAGCAAGCTTAAGCATATTAAAAAATACAAAATTTTTCATGTCATGAGTTTGTGAGATGAAGAAGGAATGTCATGCAGGTATAACATCCTCATAAGTTAGAATTATTAAACTATAATTATTTTGGTATCAACATTTATTAAATGGTTTCTACTATGTTTGTATATTAGCTTAAATATTTTTATCTATACTCTGTCCAGCAAGAGAACGCACTAAACACCAACCAAATCTGGTTCCCTACGCGACACCCTACCATAGGTTTTGTTGGTGGGATGACAAGGAGGGATGCGCGAAACCGGTGTATTCTCTCGCTGGACAGAGCATAGTTTATTATACTACATGAATATTAATAACATACATTTGTATTGGGTTCAGTCTTGATGTCACCAGTGAACTGAACGGATGTTGTTCTGGAATTTGCCTTGTTTTCCCATTCATTTTCATCTGCTTCACTGGTCGGCTCTTCATCTGGTGGCGAGCACAACGTTTGGTCATAGTCACCAGTGATCAAGCCTACAAAGAATGTGCATGCCATGCGCGCAGATATAGTAAGCATAGAATGTGCTTAGATTATAATATAGATTTAAGTATGTGTAAATAGTAGCATAAGATAGATATTATGAAATTATTATCCTAATTGCACTTTTTGATCAATTTTGTGACTAAAAAGAATACAACAAATAGCTACGTGAGAAATAGATAAAAAAAAAGTAAGTACAAATACTATGATTGCTTTGATTGAAAATATTATACTGACTTTAAGACTTTTAATAGCTACTCTTTTTACTGATTTGTACATTATTACATTATTAATATAGAAATATTCTGGTGATAAAATAGTAATAAAAATTTGCAAATATTTTATAATATTCATATAATTAAGAATTCGTGCAAATGTCATGCTACTTTTTATAATGGTTAAATACAAATTCAAAAGTCATACCATTTGCTTCTCCCCTAATTTCAAGTTGAGGCAACAGAAAACAAGTAAGTACTTGTTCGCCAGTTTTTTCATCTTCATCTGTTTGAAAATTGAGCATAGGTTGAGCTTGGTTTTTTGATAGCCAAACTGCCTTTAAATTAAGGCTGGCCAAAGAAAATGGCAAATATTGTAAACTGAGAAAATAAATGCATTATAATTTACTATAAATAATTTATTAAAAAATATTATTCTTTAAATTACTTGTTTCCAGAAACATCTAGTACATGCAATTCAACACAATTTCCAACTTCATTTGGAAGATATTGTAATTTATTATCTCTCAGAGATAGAATACCCAATTGACATAAATTACCTAAAACAATATACACAGTATTGACAATATTAACATTTATGTTTCTTATAAGATGATGTTTTTAAAATAATTAGTAACAAAAAACAATTTTATTAATTATATTTAACTAATATTTGTACACATAAAAATAATACTTGAGTATAATTACTATAGTAAATTTATTTTCTATTATATAAAAGTCATATTATAATGTTTGTAGTAGCTCTATATAATAAAACACTATCTTTAATAAAACATAAAAATACAATTTACTTATTTTAATATTAAAAATATACAATTTAATGGAATTTATCTTATACTTATTACATTGTTTGATCTGTTTAACAATAATTAAACATAGAGTGCTTGAACCAATTAAAATAAATTTAGTATTAAACAATGTTACTGTTTTAAAACAAACGAAAACCACAATATACTCAAATTAAAAGTTTCTGTAAATTATTTTCTTATCTAATAATAATTTCAAAGTATTCTATTTTCGGTAACTACCATTTTAAATGATTGTGCATTATAATAAAATAAAAATATATATTAAATAAATTTACCAATATCAGTTGGAAGACAATGCAGACTATTTCGATCTACATTAAGATTTGTCAGATTTACAAGTCTCCCAATTGTTGATGGTAACTCAACCAAAAAGTTTTCAGTAAGTATAAGTTCTTGAAGATTTTCACAACTGCAATTAAATATAAATAAGAAGGTTTTTAAAACGCTCAATGATATTAAATCAGATTAAATAATCTAGTCATACTATGATTTTTAAAAGCATATTTATGAATTAATACCCAACATAAGTATATTTAAAATAGTTGAGAATATAACCTTAAAATAATATATTTATTATTAGAAATTTAAAAGTTGTGATATAAAAATATTTTGTTTATTGGATTACTTACCATCCGATGCGATCATTTAACATAGTTAATCTATTTAGGTCAACTTTTAATATCATCAGACGAGTGAGTTCACCAATACCATTTGGAAGGGTCTCTATTACATTTTGAGATAAATGCAGATCAGTTAAGTTTTCTAGACCACCAATTTCTTCTGGGATGTCTTCCAAACGATTTTCGGAAACATCAAGACAAGCTAATTGTTTAAGATTTCCTATTTCCTATTTTAAGACAATAAATATTATATTATAAACTTAAATGTAAAAATAATAATTTGTATAAACTATAATTACTGCAGGCAAATGCTGTAAATGATTATGATCCAGCCAAAGTTCTTGGAGAACTGGAAGATTACCAATGTGATGTGGCTAAAATATTTACAGAATGATGATTATAGACTTTAAATATTTGTTTAAGTCAACAATATATAATAATATAATAGTTAATAGATTTACTCACCAGATGGTCTATTTCATTATCCCCCAAATCTAATCGTTCTAAACGTGTTAATTGTGATAGTGATAATGGCAAGGATGTCAAAAGATTCTCTCGCAGCTCTAATGATTTTAAATTTGTTAACCTTTAGAATAAAAGTAAAATTAATTTAATCTGTAGATAAACAATATGAAAATATTTAAGTATTACACAAAAATATAAATTTGAGGGAATACAAATGCAAAAATAGTATGAGGATTTTTTAACTTAGAATTTAAGTTTAGTAATACTAATTATATTCAATTATTACACTATAGGAGAATTTGGGAAAGTAAAAAATACTTTATTTCAAGGATATAAATTTTTTTGAAATTTTTAGATATAAAAAGTAAGTTTATTTACTAAATTGAGTAAAAATGTACTTGTGATTGATAGAAGTTTTATAAATATTAATAATACATTTAGTGGTATATAATAGAAGCTTTCACTAGTGATAATTATATTAATTATTTATACTTAATAACTAGTTTTGAAAAATAGAATAAAGTAAAAGACTATTAATAATAATTTGTCAGAAGTATTTAAAGATAATTATTTAGGAGACCTTGCAGTATAGAAGTATAATACTTCAATTACAAAATAATGTATAGTTTAAATTAATATTTTATCATTTATTTGGTAATTCTCAGGATTATAGTTTTGACTAAAAATTTCATAATTAAGTTTAAAAAAGCAGGTAAGTGGATGTTGCGCTGCTGCACAGTAGGTTACAAGTGGGTAAATGTCAAATTTGAATTCAATGATACAAAATCTTTGCATACGAAAAACGTTTCAGAGGAAAAAATGGTCTGTTAATCTATGATATTAATTAGTATATTTGATGATATTATTGTGATTAAAGTAATTTATTTTACTATTACAGTATTTTTGCTAAAAAATTACATTTGAAAGTGTCATTGTGTGTATAAAATATAATAGTTAACTCTAAAATTTTCATATATCAATGAATAATTATTTTTAAATTACAACAAAATGACTGAAATTGTGATTCTTTGTGTTCATATGTAATTTCGCCCACATTTGAACTTAAAATAATTATAAAAAAAAAATGTGCCTATGTACTTTTAATATTTATCGACTGCTATTGTCATAATACAAATACACCATTTTAGTATAAATTTTTTAAGCTTTTTGACCCAACAAATGATATTTTATTGACATTTATAAAAAAAAAAAATAAAAAAATTGAAAATGTTTGTAAACAGTAAACGAGTCACAATATTTTGGAAATTGTATCAAGCATATGTATTGATAATATAAACATATAGTGTAAATTTCAAGTATCTACAGTTATACGATTTTGAATTACAACAAAATAAGAAAACCGCTATATGAGAAATGGAGTTAATATCCAATGTTGTAAAAATTTCAACTTCAGACGCTTATAAAAATTTAATTTGACTTCCAAATATTTTTTTGGTAAAGATAGACAAACTTAAGGAATCTTGTATTAAATTTTAACCAAAAAAAAAAAAAAATCGATTTTTCAAAAACGGGTTTTACGTAGAAAACTGAGTTTTCTTAATTTTTTATTGGTTTTTCCTGCCACTTTTGAAAACTATTGGGGATTTTCACTTGTGACCCCCCTCAAAATACCAACTAGATTCGTTTCCTACCAGAAAAGATTTTGTTGAAGAAAATCGAAGCACTTTTACTGCACCAAAAGGTGATAACCGACACAAAAAAGTAAATAAAAATATTTGGAAAAATTTGATCATTTCTTATATAATTATGTCATGGTTTGTATTTAAATTATTGACTTAAGAATAAAACATTTTATTAAAACCGCATTAATAATTTAAACGACAATTAAAAATAAATACATGTTCATAGAATCTAAAATGAATGATATTTATAATAATAACAAAATGATTTGTTAAGTTCTAATAATTAATCCCACTAAGACAACAGTGTTAAATGTCATCATAAATACAGTAAACTTACAGCCCAAAATCTGCAGGTAGATTACTTAATGACATATCATTAAGTCCTAATGTAGTGAGATTATGTAGTTGTGAGAATCCAGATGGTAATCTAAAACAATACAAATAAGAACAATAACATAAAATTAATAGGATATTATCTAAATTGCTTATAACACTTACTTAGGAATAGGGTTACTACTGAAGTCTGCAACTTGCAGCAATCTCAGACTTCTAATTTCATCTGGTATATCAGGTATGTCTAAAAAATAATATTAGAACATTAATAACTAATCGTGCATTTTAGCATTTGCTGTACATAATACTACACATACTTATTCTGTAGGTTAATATTAAATAAATTATATATATATATTATACCCATTTTAACATTTTAGTTTTACTATCAATTGTGATTAGTTGTACCTTAAAATTAATTGTACTTATTCAATAACGAATAGCGGTAATAATATTTTTTTAAACCTAACCTAACTATCACGAATATAGTTTTTAAGATCATTAATATTACGAGGTTTATGGGCGTATTATATATTTTACTTTTGAAATACCCCTAAAAAATATATGTTTACCTAATAGTAAATCGTAAATGGTATTTTAGACACAAACCGAATCATGGTAAAAAGTCCGGTATTTGTATTCCAAATGCTGTTCAATACATATTTCGATATAAAAATTCTAGGATTGGGTGCTCTTAAAAGTAGTTTGAAGTTCAAATAAAATAGTTAGTATAGTAATATCACGGCAAGTCGGAAGTAATAATAGTAATATCATTGGTACCCATAAGTTAGGTTAGGTGTTTTTGTTTACTTTATTAGTTAAATCATTTAATTTAAATTTTTACTAATACTAATTGCACGTTAATACCTATTTCATTTATTAAATTAATTTGAGTTAACCTTTTCCTTTTACTTTATTATATGTACCGGAATTTTTTTCCTATGAAATAATTTACCTAGAACTTTCTGGAAGTCTACAGTCCAAACTAACGCTACTTAGTCCCCAAGTTGCACCTATTACGTTGTATTAAACTAACTATGATCGAGAAAATGTGTTTTTTAACTTTGTACTACTAAATATGAAGACACTAAAAGTCGATATTTAAATTGTCTAACTATATTTAAAACAGTTATATACTTATATTAATTATGTTAGTGTTTTTAAGTTTGTTCACAGAGGGTTGGGTAATAGAGAAATAAATACAATAGTAATAATGATCAATAATATTACATAAAAATAGGTTATAAATAAATGTCTACCAGTTTAGAATACACATTTAAGAATTTCTTTTTAAAATCTCCATCTATGGTTTTTACTTTTTTATATGTTTTTTTTTATTTCAGGGAATTAAATTCCTTAGATCCTTTAGCAAACACAAGGTTGGTTTATAACAAACACGCGTAATATAAACTCTTTTTTTATGATTATACTTTCAAAACAAATTGATGGTAAAATGATAAATCAAAGCTATTCAAACATATAGTTCTATAAATATATTTATAGATTAAACCATATGCCAGACTGCCAGAGTCTAGTCAACATAAATAATACAATTTCGAACATGGACGAAGACGATGGCACAAAAATGTCATCTGATGCCAAACAATAATATGATTTTATTTTATACTTTTATTTGCCAACAACCTTATTATTATACAGGTAAAACAAGGTGATTGACCCTTAATAGCTGGAGCCTACTGCACAGTACATAATAACTAAAACCAGTTTTCAGTCACTGACAAGGATGAGTGAAGTATGCTGCTGGATAAATACAGCCGGTCTACTTGAATTACCAATCAAATGAATAATACACTCAGGCCTGAAGACATCAGATAAATCAATTGTTATTATTCTTACGATCCAATTTTTGAATGGAACGTTAAAAATAAAAAGAACAATAATTATTATTTTACGATGGAATTATAGAAGTGGAGAAGACGAAAAATAAATATGATGCACCTATAAATTGAAGATTATTTGAAGGTGGTCATTAAAAGTGTTCTTTCGAAAAATGTTTCTATTTAATAGAAAACAATTATACTTGAGCACTTGACGTTAACATAAACATTAATACTTTTGAGTTATAGATTTTATTGTTGTAGCATTTAGTGCATAAATTACTTGCCTAAAAAATGTGTAAATATTTGTTGAAGCTTGGAATATTTACTTTTTTTTTAATGTTAAGTACACATTGTTTGTAAAAAATAGTAAGTAGGCCAAATTTATTAATTAATAATTGTTATTAATATTATACGCATTAAATCAAGTTTCTAAAGAGATAATGAAATTATGGTTGATAACAAATATCATAAAATTAATTTTATTTGATAATAATCCACCTATTAATTTCTTAAAAATAAAATAGATTGAAATCTAAAATGTAAATGTGTCACATTTTTAAATGAAATTAATGTAAAAATAACATTATTCAACCATCGAATATGATACATAGACGGATATATTATGATTCATCCAAGTGCAGAATGATGTTGTATTAAAAAATAATAAATTATAGTAAAATACAAATCGAATAACCAAAACCAATTTATAACCGACCTCGATGAACAATAACCATAGCTAAGACAATCGATAAGAGTCCCACCAAAATAATTTTAAAAAAAGTTGAAAAGTCAAGAAGACTTTATTGGGAATTACAATAATATGATGCTCTCAGAATTTTCATTGCGATCGCATCACTACTCACTAGTTTCATGGGTTCGTTGGAAAAATAAACCTAGGAATGCGGATAATCCACAATAAATTGACCGACTTTGTATAATACCCAATGTTTTAACTTTTTTTTAAATATTTTTAATACGCACATTACAATAATATTATGAGAATAAAATGCACAATAAATAACGCCTATAACGGTGGTAGTACTAGCCAGTAACTGTCTATCCAAACGCAAACGGGCGACACGATGTGCGGTGTACCTTGACGGCACCGCCCTCGGGTTTTTGTAATCCTCGGGAAGTCGGGAGACCGGCGTTTCGTCCGACCGGAAATGGCGGGCGCTCGCCAATATAAAACGTACGAGTTGTTCCGCTGAAATTTTACCGCACTGCACACCACTATACGTGTTAATAGTATTTATTATTTCGCGGACGCCAATGCGAAAATCGAACGACAGACGCGGTGAAAAGGCCGGCGATGACCGCGTTTACCTCGAAAACTGACCGACGACGGTATAAGGTACAGCGGTTACCATCTCGTGAGAACGCGACCGAATGTGGACCGCGATCAGCAAATTTTTTACGGACCGCCAATTAATATAAGGGTTACGTTAACCGCGATATTTTTTATTGGTCGGTTGGAAAGGAAAACACGGTGGTCGTGACAGTCTATCGGGCCGGCTTCACAAACTTTTTTGGGACGTCGCCGCGAATCGTAGTGAGACGACATACATGCTAAACAAATGTTGCAAGGCAGTCCCTTCAAATCAAACCTGACTAAAAGCTCGCCTCGCATTTCCAATAATAATAATACAAGTACTATAGTAATAAATTAATATATCTGTGTGGGTAAGCGATCCATAGCCAAGTCTATCGCACTAATGTTGTTGAAGTTTGGAACATAGTCTTATACTCGAGGAAGTACATCTAGCATCTGGAAGCCAATTTTTAAAATTTTGAATTTTAGAGAGGCTTTCGAGGGGATTTGTTATCACAGGAAAAATGAATATTTTTGTTCATGCATAGTTGGCAGTTGCCATTGGTTACAGAAAATAAAATAGTTATTATGATTGGACATAATTTTAGATCTGTATTTTATACTTGGTCAAAACAACCAAAATGTGTTAAAATCTTTTAACGGAATTTAAGTTGAGGTAAATCCGCGGGCATTTAATTTGTCACGGGGAACGTGCAGGATCAGCTAATAGATAATGTCTCTGATGATGGAATCAACACTATTTAAAACAGTGATAGGGGGAGCTGGGAGGGGTTTGTGCAAATTTGATTGCTTATTAATAGTTCAAAAAAAATTTGAACTAAACAGATGGTCAATGGTATTTTTTAACGACTGAAAAACATGATTTAGATACCTATAAAAGTATAAAAGTAAAGAAGTGATACAAATGTTTGGCAGAAGACAAATTCTATAAACATAACTAATTATTTAATAAAAGCTAGGATGTATTACATTTGAATGTTTTAGAAACCTTAATTTTTTTATGGATCTTCTCGAAAGTATTATGGACGATTTTGTACATTCCCTATACTTCTTAAAGTTAATTGTTAAGGCCCTATGTAAATATATATTTTGAGGGGGTGTTGAGAATTTATAGTTTTCAGTATAAAAGAATTTTGGTCACCTGTAGAGATAGAAACAGTAATCTTCAATCTGGAGTAAAAGATAATATAAACTTTTCATCATTAATTTGTTAGCGATAATTAACGTTTTTAACGAATGTCCTTGATATGCGGTAGCGTTAGATTCGTTGCGGTGAATCTTGTATTCCTAGAAATGTCGGTAGGTACAACGTCTCCTATTCTTATAGTTAGAATAGTTAGAATAGAAGTTGATAAGATAATATTGATTGGGTGTTCCGTGAAATCTAAGTTGGTCATGTATAAAATAAAACGAAAAAATTAAGTTATGATAAACGCAATTATAATCCAAGTTTTAGGGGACAGGAAGGCTGGATTTTGTAATGTAAAAATTAAGAACGTAAATCTTAGATAATTGATAGTGTTTTTGAGGGACTAAAGCCCTTTGCGAACGAGGCGATTATTATTAGAATTTCTAGATAAATTACTGGAAATCTACCAACAGCGAAAATGCGCAAAATAGTAAAATAGGTACATCAGTAGAAGATGGTTGTTTGACAAGCCTGCCGACGTGCCCATCACTGTAAGGTATCTTTGACAAAAACCTTGTTTGCGGAATAGGCACTTTTAGGCTGGTTTTTTGGATTCAAAGTTTGAAAAGTCTGTTATTGTCAATTGTTCACTTCACAAAATGTACAATTATTGAGTACATACCTCACTATAATAGAAAATTAAATGTTCGATACATAAAAACTATATAATTTCATAAAATTCAGTTAATCAAACGCATTAACGTATGTTACAACAAGTGTTTTCTTAAAACACGTTTCCAAACCATTTAAAAATAATTGAATAATAAGGCGTGGTATATTAACATACCTAACCTTTTTTTTTTAATAACCAACCATTTAGCGTAGGATACCGTTTATTTATGCTATTATTTTAGTTAAAGTACACATGGTACATCATCTACGAAACAGCCCAGTGAAGATCCTGGTATGCGCGTATAGTTTTTAGTTTTTTTTTTACTATAGTACAGATTGGCATGTATTGGTATACTGTCGACACAAATTTGATACGTAAGATGATAACATTTGTGGTTCCATTGTTTTCATACTCATTATTATTACTATTATTATAAAATATGTATAGACATTTATATTATAATAATATGTAATACCAATATGTTTAAATTTCCAGCTATTGATCGGTAACCAGCGCTTTATTTCAACTTGCTGTTCAAAATGTAGTATTTTAAATACGCAAGAATAGTGTTGATATAACATTATATAGTAATTAAAATTAAATGTTTTATTCTAAACATTCATTTCGCGAAGTGTACACAACGCGTATTTATACAGTATTGTAAGCTGTGCAATATTTTTTTGACCCCATATTCCTGCATAAGCCTAACAACTATTCAAACATTAATATTATCACGTAGGTATTACATATTAGTATGTTACATTAACATTAACACATATTTTGATTATTGTCTAAGAGTTTATGGTATTTATTTAATTTTACCAGTTACTTGTGACAACAAATATTATACAATAGTTCACAGTTGACAATAACAAAATGTTGTTTAAATGAACACGTTCAAAAAAAAAATTTTCAACAACTGATTATTATTTATTTCATTTAATATCATATACAGATGCAAAAACATAATTAAGTTGGGTTTAGTTTACAAAATATACAAGGGCAAATGACCTGAAGCACTACATGTTTTAACCAGGACCTATACGTACTATTTGATGACATGACTAGGATGTATGCATGGGTTCACATGAGAACGGTGGGAGGAAACATACTAATCGTTTACACACACATGAATGAAGTAAAGTAAAAACATTCAATGTACGTTTCTGCATTGCATTTTGATATTATATTATAACTGCATTTATCACAGTGAAAAAAATTTGACCTCATTTAATTTTCGACTTAGAATAACCCTCAAAATACACAATATTATAATTTATAAGCAAGTTGTTATGATATATTTATGACATATTAAATAAAGTAACACAAACCTCTCTGTTTGTATGTGGATCTATTTATTTTAAACATTGTAGACGTACAAAATTCAGTTCTGGCAATGTCACCCGAGACACAAAAAGCAAAACATACCATGCCTAACCTAACCTATAGGTATTATGTAGTACGTACTATCATAAAAATTAATTTTAATATAATAATAGTTTCAATTAAAAAAAAAAATATATCAACATTTGGAATTGTGGGTTTCAAAATAAAACTGTTAATGTTGAAGAATAAATAATTACTTCTAATTGCATATGAATGACAGTATTATGTTAATTTTATGAATAATAAAAACATAGGTACCTATATACCCACATACTTATTAATTTTAAATTATTATTTACAAAAGCAATATCTATATTTATAAAATAAAAGTCTAATAAATTATTGGTAGGTAAATAAATAAAATAAAACGTTTAAATATTTTATTCCCCATCTTGGTATAGGTACTCTGTAGTACATTTTTTTAAGCAATAAAATATATTTAGATTACTATTCATATAATTGCTTGTATAGTTGTATCAACACTTCATTAAATTGTATAAAACCAGAGTAGAGCATAAATAAATATAAGAATTGCTTACCACTGTATATCTCACAAAAAGAGAATATAATTAGGTAGCTCGAATAATTTTAGTGTAAATTTCCTTAGAAGCGATAAATAATAATTACATGATTACCCATAATCATTATTAAATATCATTTAATAAAAAACAACTGTAATTACTAATTAGTATTACAAATGAATAATATTAAAAAAAAAAAATTGCTTATGAACAGAAGAGTGTTAAAAATCAAACAAAGAATGAATACCTATTTAACAATTTAAAAAAAAAAAATAGTTTATTAAGATTTTAAATGTTTAGTTCAGTTAATAAATAGTTAAAGAACCAAGTAATAATTTGTATTACTTATGTTTTATTTTATTTAATGTATGTTATACTTGGTTACAAATTTTAAATAGGTACCACATTTTAATTGTTTCTAAATAGTTAATATAATAATATAAAATAGAATTGAGTTACCATTTCTTGAAACATCTAATTCCACCAAATTTTCAAAATGTTGTATTTCTGGTGGTAAACGGTGTATTTCATTGTCACTTAGTCCAAGCTTCCGTAACCTTTGAAGTCTGAAGAAGTTCTGTAATAGAAATATAATATCATTAAACCATATATATGTAATCTAATTAGTTATTGTTAGTAATATGAGAAATATGGTGAAACGGTTAAAAAAAACATTGATTCACTGATAATCAAAACGTTTGATGTATTAAACACTAACTGCATCTAAATAATAAATTGATCAACAAATATTATTTAGTTGCATTGATAAAATGCATGCACTTATTTAACTCGTTGTAGAGTTATTATTTACTGTGTTATTTTACACAAATACCTACAAAACCTAAATTATTATTCATGGTTAGAAACTGATTAAAAAGTTCAATACGAAATATATACTTGAATAATAGTACATTTGAGTAGATTTTGAAAAAATAATAGGTACCTAGGTACATTTTTATGGTGTCTAACTGTCAATACTGATTTGTATATAATGTACACAAGTGATAATATCTAATTATTAATACCTACACATTCAAAATTATGTAAAAATAAAATATATTAGTTGAAGTAAGGTCATTAAAAATGACACATAAGTTATCTATGGAGAATGATGTAATTTCGCAAAAGACCTTGGCTTAACACTGGACAGGTTACATTATATCTACATCTTTAATATTAAGTCTTTATTGTTATCAATGGCACATAATACCATGTTTAAAGACCTTATTATTTTACTTATTATGCATATAGAAGAAATAACTAATTTTTGCATAGTTTATCATTTAAAAAACAAATTGGAGTATTGTATAGAATATAGGAAAACTATTAAATTGTTTTATTACTGCTGTTATTATTATAATTCTGTTTTAGTTATTTTTAGTTTTTAGTACCAACCATAACTAATTTATAACTAATTATTTTATGGCAAAACTTTATATACATACACTATATTATTTTGTAAGGCTTGTAATAAAAGCTAGAATAATAAATGTTCAACACATAATACAATATACAACCGTGTTAACAACAAAACTTTTATAAATACCTACATTTAAATAGTGAGCAATTTTCAAAGTATAAATTATCAAATAGGTATACCTATATGACAAATAAAGTATATCTGTTTAATAATAATAATAATAATAATGATTTTAAACAGGTAAATATTCCAATTAAAATAAATAGGTAACCATACCTACCTAATTTAAGTATTAAGGTTAAAATTGTTCTGATTAATAATAGTTATATACCTACTTATATATTAAATACCCATAACCTAAAAAGCATTAATTATTTTCTTACAATAACGTCATGAAATTTAAAGAATTTTAAAGAATGTATCAAATATTAAACAACATTTTAAGTTAAACACCTATAGGTAATAGGTTAATACATATTATTACAGTAGTCAGAGTGCCTTTTTTAAAAAATGTATGTTTAATTGGGAGGGGGAAATTGCAATAGGTACGACTTTGATGTTGTAAAAGTTATTTTTTTGTCATAATATTCAATCCATTTATTAAATTTTTTAGGGGAATCTAGTACCCTGTAATTATGAAGTATAGCTCAGAATAACCGAGATAAAGGTAGTCATTTGTAAATAATTACTTATGATGTTAAACAAATATTTGATTAGAGCTGTCACTATAAATCATAGGGTACTGTATTTAATTATATAACAGAAGACTAAGAACAAATACATTGATAATTTTTTTCAAATTCAGATTTTACTTTGAGATATAAAGTTATATTGTTCTGAAATCAAAATAAATATTTTTAATTTATCTATAGGTACTTATTACTTATTAGGTAGTAAATATTAGTAGGTGAAGTTTATAAAAACAAGTTTGTACTTTTATTAAATTCTTGTAAGACTTGCTAGTTTCTATTTGTTTTTTTCATTTATAAGCAATAAGCATACTACTAATGAGTTTAAAATGAAATGCAACCATATTATTTTTGAATAATAAAATTCAATGTGTTCAAATTGACATTCCTAAAATGGTAAATATATCGAAAGCCTAACAATGACATGACATTTTATAATTATTGACATAGGTGCCAACGATCTACAAATTAATATCAGAATATAATTTTATCCAAACAAAACAATATAATGAAGGCAGTAAACTCAATGATTAGTAGGTATCATCACCAGGTATAAGCCTAGTCAAAACATTATATTTGGAAATTAGATAGGTAATTCGAGACTAATGACTAATGTTTTGCCCACCACCGGTTGCCATGGTTGCCAATACTATTGTAACTATGGTATTATTTATTGTTGTTTGTACATTTGCCCAGTTTTATCATATAAAACTTATTAAAGATTGTTGTATTTTCAATTTTTTTTTAATATTTGGCCTTGCTTATTATAACCTGACCTACCCCTTCCCCCAAAAAGGATTTTAATTGGCTTTCAAAGTTACACATTTAATTCAATGAATTGTAGACATACAAATTTCTTAGTAATTCAGTTGTTAGAAACTGTCAGATAAAAATATTTAAAAAAAAAAAGGAACAATAGTAGGTACCCTATAACTGTGGCACCAAAAATTGCGATAAGTTATTGTGTTCAGTAAAAGACATTTTTATAAATGAATAATTTATGTTTGTGTATATGATAAGTGCATAGTATTAGATACCTACCTAATAATATGTAATAACTTATTATGAGTTATAAGTTATTTCTATTTTCATGATAATTTTGTATAGGTAGGTAAGAAAATAAATTAAGGCAACTATTAAATTTAATAAAAACATATTTTATGGGATTTTATTTTTCAAGAATGCTCCACAGGTGATTTTAATGAAATACAAATTCAAACTAATAAATAGGTATAATATGGTAAATATAATATTATAATAAGAGTTAAAATACCTAAAAAATTCACATAATTAGTTACACCGTACACATAGGATTTAGAAATAAGAATATAATTATTAAATTCCACTGTTGATAAGGTTTAAATGCCTATATAAACAATGAACATATTATCCTAACAGGTGTATAGGTACATACCGAATAAATAATCTTTCATGATACCAACTTTTTGATGAACGTGACAAAAAATATAAATCTAGAAAACTACATAACTGTACACATTATTTTAAAACCGACCGGTTGGTTTTATAATAGACTAAACATTTTTTAAAGCACTTTTGATTTTCTTCCTGATTGATTAGGTATTACTATAGTAAACATTAAAATAATAGGTACTAATGCATTTTAGTAGTATATTGTAAGTATCAGTAGTAAAATATCGGGAAAAAAGACTTCATCATCATAATTCATAAGATATCATACTAGTATTGGCAGTATTAATTGTGTCAATGTCAATGGCATGTATTTAACTTTTTTCCTGAGTGTGCATGATGAATTGAATATAAAACATTAATAACACCTTGTAATTTTGTTCCAAATCAAACATATTTATTATCAAGGTCACGAGTGCAAAAAGTGCAACAAAACGATAACAATATTTTATTTAAATTTAAGACTGAACCATCAAACTGAAATGTATGTGCTTAAAATACCACATTTTCTGACAAGTTTTCTAATAATCAAATTATAAAGTAGGTATTCATTTTAATAGGTAACCAGGTAAGTAATTCTTAGTTGGATATTAAGGTCATTTATAATACGTACAGCTCGGGAAATATCAAAATAGGATAGCATTTATTTAAAATTTGAAAAGAAGATGCAGATTTCAGTAAAATACAATGCCTATATTGAACATTGTGAAACAGAAATAGGATACTAGAGTAATAATCTTAGTGATATCAGAAGTTCTAATACTTGAATTGTTTGACATCAAATTAAAAATAGAATAATAAACAAAAATTATGTATTTTACAAAGACACATACCTAGTAAAACACGGAGCAATACACAACATAATAAAAATATCCAATTTGTCTATTTTACAATATAATAACATGATGTATATAGGAGTACAAGATATAAAGCCATGTGTTGTTTCAATTGTATATATTATGCCTAGTACTTTTAACATTACAAATGAATATGAAAAGGAAGGTTGGCATTTCTATTTAGCTTTGAAAAAGAATTTGAATGTAATATACATAAATTGTAAAGATATCTGGTCATCATTACCGATGGGTAGGTCTATCTATTAGTTTTCATTGAAAAAAACAATAGAAGTCTTTAGAAAATGGTTTTACAAATATCTACTATTGAAAACAATTTGATGCCCACCTACCTTATTATAAAAAGTTAAATACTTTTTGATGACGGTAAATGACAGGTTAAACAGTTAGTGTATCAACCTATATTAATAAATTACACAGATTTATTTATTAGGTACCCACATTAGATAAGTTAAGTACCTACTTCTTTGTTTGTCTTTTTTTAAAAAATATTTGTAAGATTTCTTTTAAAATGACACATAGGATACAACAGCCGGGGGACCGGTATCGGTTACAAAAGTAACAGACATGATAATGAACATGTCTGTAGCCTGCAGGATAGAATACACCTGTCTGTCCGCTAGTAAAAGAAACAATTTGGATGGCTGGCCAGCTATTAAACGCACGCATTACATTCAGAAACATAATTGATTGCCGGTGGGTACCCATTAGCTATTCCTGGCGGGGACTCGTGATAGCAAACTGAATTGTGCTCAGGCTGTTCCTATTTCAGACTTACTTTTGGCAGTTCGCGAAGGTGGTTGGCGTCAAGCAGCAGCTCCTCCAGGCTCCTGGCATACCTGAGTATCTCTTCGGGTACCGAGTTCAACGAGCTGTGGCGCTTATCCACGCACTCCACCTGCCTGTTGCAGCCCTTGAATATCGGTATACAACGGAACATGACACCGGTCAGTCTGCGGGTGACATGATAACAAAGACACGGTTAACACGGCACGCCGGGTCGCTTGGCCCGTAGCGACCTGTAATCAACGGAGATCGGTCGTTCGGTGGCCGACTGACGGACGATCAACGGGAATCCATCGGCAACGAAACGAACAGTAACAACGTACCAAATAGTTCGGACACCACCGGGTCGTAATACGGGAATACGACGGTCGTTATAACGTCATCGTGTCATACGAACAACAGTGACAACGGCGGTGGTGTAAACACACGCGAATTGCAATAAAAACCGTTTGCGTGGGCGACGACGCCTTTACGACAACAATCTTACGACGGTGGGAGGGAGACGGACACGCGTGCCGTCGGTATAACAACAATCGTGAGTTGGAATTATTGTTGTTAGCGCACACCGTCCGGGGGAACAGAGCGTTGGAGAATACGCACGGCAAACGGTACGGCACTAGACACTAGTGCACTACTGACTACTGAGCCGCCCCGTTGAGGACGTGTGCGACGTGCTCAGTGCTGCTGCTGCTCTACCACCACCACCGACCGCGGCCGTCAGTAGACACTACCACTACCACTATCACCGGCCGTTGTGGTTGGCGTGCCGTCGATGACGACGACGACGACGTAATCTCCCGATCCGCATTCCACAACATTCCGGAACGTGTACACGAATGTCATGTATTATTATTATTATTATTATTATTATTATTACTATTATTATTAGTAATATTACTACAATGGGAATTTTACGGGGCGTATGGTGACTGGTGAGGCAAGCGCGCGACGCTGAATGATTAGGGCACCAGGCGCGCGCGGCTCGCCGCGCCCGACGACCGCGCCCCCCATACCTGCCAGACAGGAGCGTGGCAGTTTGACCAACGCAACGGGCCCCTGCCACTATCCGTAGACGTTATCAAATCAACCACGACACCACGTAGATAGATTAGATAACGTTATTATGTTTAATGTTATAGTTATTTTGAAATTGGACAATCAGTTCTCAGTAGGTAGTCTCAAAAGAATTCGCGACTTATTTTCGTCGAGATTTGAGACTATGCCCGTCCTCTAGTCGCGTAGTCCGTCGTCCGTCCGTCCGTCTGTGCGTGTACGACGTCTTACAGAAACGATGGCCGAGGACGGGCCGACTGGCCCGAGCTATGGCGACATAGCCAAAAAACTGTTGGACGACCGTCTGCTGCTCACCGCCCTGGAACTCCATTACGAGCTCGTCGAAGCTGGAAAGGAACTACCAGGACTTCGTGAGTTTTTTTCCAACCCCAGCAACTTCGAACACTCGTCTCCACAAAACGACAACATCAGTATAACTCTGAGTATGGGTACGTAAAGCTAGGACAAGAGCTTTCTATTACTGTCGTTATACAAAATCTTATGTCTACACATTACTTTGTCTGTTCAATGCATCCTTAATTGGCGTTATTCAAAAAATTTTGTTTAGCTCGATCATCGAGTCAAGCAACTTTGGACTCGCTGGAGATGGCCAGGTACTCTGAAGATGGCGATAAGACAGTCAATGAACGAGTAGCCATCCTTGAGTTTGAACTGCGCAAAGCCAAAGACACAATTAATGCCCTCAGAACGAATTTGACAGTGGCAGCTGTAGGTAATATTGTTTTAAACTTTGAAACAGACATATTGTGATTTTATCTTCATAATTCATAGATTGGTAAATATGTAATTGTTACCTTATAGGTAGTACATACAACGTAGGTCCTACATCCTATCTAGTATTTACTAGATAAACAATAATAGCTAATTAAATTTTAATTGTTTTTATGTATACCTGGAAAAGTATATATATTAATTACTTGTAACAATTATTATAGAATCTGAAGAATTTGCTGGGGAAGATCCTAAAATTTCCCAATATGATGATAGAATCAAACCACATGAACAGCGGGTTCTCAATTTTTTAGTAAATGAGTACTTAATGCAACATAATTATAAGTTGACGTCAATAACATTTGCAGATGAAAATGAAAATCAAGTAAATTATTTTAATATTTGGTATTATTACTTGTTAGTGCCTTATTTAAAACGTGCAACAAATCATTGTAAAAATAAATAAATTTATGATAAAATGGAATTTTTCGTAATATAGTTAGATTATAATTTGTGTTAACATATACTTACCTAATAGCATGATCGTTAATTATTCATTACTCAAATTATGTAACATGCAATTGAGTAGGCATATATTTTTTCAACTAATTTTATCGTATATAATACATATTTAAATTCCACTTCAATATGTATTAAATATAGTTTAATTATGTTCTGATTTTAGGATTTTGAAATCTGGGATGATGTTGGTCTGAATATTTCAAGACCCCCACATTTATTATCCTTGTATAGAGATCGAGCTAAAAGTTACTTTAAATCAGATGTATCCTGTCAGAGTGAAATACAAGAGTGTATAAATATTGCTACCCAGGTATTTTTCTATTAATTTGAATATAATTATTTACTTAACACATTACATTGTATAGATGGACGGAGACTGCAGTGATTTTACAAAAATAATCTCCCAATTAGAAAATGATAATGAAAATCTTCTTTCTCAATTACAATTGTAAATATTGTTTGATTTTAGTTTTGTATTTTTATGTAATGTAATAAAATACATAAAAAGTTATTCTTATTTCATCAGGCTCAAATCAACTAAAGATTTATCTGATATAACCCCGAATATTTCTAAAGAAAAATGGTTACGGCCAGACAAAAGTAAAAAACAAAAAGTTTTAAGAAATTGTGAATCGTCAGTTTTTCAAGATATGTTAATAAATAAATGTTGGCCCGATCAACAATTGCCATTAATGTATTTGGATGTTGATTTGGATGTATTATCTGATGATGGTGTTGAATTGAATTTATATCCAATACTACGAATTCTAGAAAATCAAAGGTTACGCAATCAAAATGATGAAAATATTTTAGAATCCGAAAAACAAGAAGTAATTAATACATTTTTTTTTAAAATTGATTTATTAATAAAATTATGTTTATTTTTTTAAATATTAGGATTTTATTATCTTAAGTGTTCTCTTAATGCATATTCACCCAGATGTATTAGAAAGAGAAAAAATCTTATATTCTTTATTCAATATGAGAAAAAAACCTAATAAAAAAGAAAGAAGTTCAATTATAGGAGGTATGTTTTTAACCACATCCACATTTTATTCAACTATTTGTACATTCTTTTAATATTTTACTTATTTTAATTTAGGTTTATCTTGGTTCCTAAAATACTCAAATAGTGAATTTTTTGAAAGAGAATTGTTGCCTCAGTTATGGCATTTGTTAACAGATAAATATGTTGAGAAAAGATTATTGGTTGCAGAGGCTTGTTCGTGGTTTAGCCCATTAATTAGTGTATGTTTTGAATGCATAACATTATTTTAAATATTTTTGCGGAGATATATTATTTATTAAAAACAATTTTTAGTGTGAGTCTAGGCAATCTTTACTTTCTGTATTGCAACAAATGTTGATTGAAGACACTGATGAATCTGTCCGTGCAGCTACTATTAAAAGTATTGCAATCAATACTGTTTATATTTATGATTCTGACAAATATGCTCAAGTAATTGGTGCTAATTTTTCATTGCTTATTTGTGTTACTATTCCAATGTGTTCTGCTTATTATAACTATACTAAACAAAACTGTACTAGTTAACTAATGTATCATAAACAACATTTTACTATTTGGTAGATTGAAGAACTTCTTTTTATTGGCCTAAAAGATAATTTAAAATACATAGTTGAAATCACTATTGGAGTCTTGTTGCCAGTTTTAGCAAAATGGGCATTTGACAAAGGTCGTTTACAATCAAACTGCTACATGAGATTAATGAACTCTTTGACAACTCAAATTAAGGTTATTTATTCAGGTTGTATAAAGTTTACATTTTTTTTAATTATTTGAATTACTTATTCTCTTTAGACTCTTGATTCTCAAAAAAAATCACAAAAAACTGACCAGTTAGAATCTAACTGTTGTTATATGGTCAATGCTATTCGTTCTATACTTCCATATTTAGTTCTATATGTAGCATCTGCCCCTGAATGTATATCATTGAGAGACGAAGACACGCCAAGAGGAGAACTAAGTTAGTAAAATACAAATGAGTTTCCGATTAACTTTTTGATAAGCAATGTTTATATACATTTTTAAAAAAGTTGGCATGCGAGACATTGACGTTTAAATATATTTTAAATGGTTTTATCTTTTTAAACCAACGTATTGTACTTAAACATCATCATTAAAAATATAGTGATAAAAATAAATTACTCCCACATTTAAATTTTTCATTCCTAATGAGCTCTCTGAGTGTGTGGCTGTGTATCTTAATTTGCTTCTCAAATGGTTAACAAAACATGCAACCATAATAATATTAATAATTTGTTGGATACTATCTTTCATATAAAATGTTTCAGGGACAGGTTTTGCTGATATTTGTGTTGGTTTGAGTAACCCACAAGTATTCTATAGCGATCCAAATAATACAATTGGTACAGTGATGTGTACATTTGATGCTGTTGTTGAGGACAATAAAATAACATGGCCTAGATTACAGTGGCTGTTTGAATGCATGTACGATTTGTTTTTTCTATTGTGCTTAAAATTTATTTTTGGTAAATACTTTATCAATTTTTTATTGAATATTTAGGTTGCCCAGCTTAATAGAATCTTCATCTTTGGTTTCAATCGAAAACCAAAAGCTTTTGCAGTCACTCATGGCATTATTCCAATCGTTTTGTTATGGATTTGGATCTAAGTTCACACAAAATAAAGTAAGACTTAGTATAATTATTTTTCAGAATACAAAAGGCATTGAATTAATATATTAATTAATTACAGGTAAAACCATTGTTTGTAGAAAAAATACAAAGTCTAGAAAAATCCTTAGGTAAAATTGCTAATGCTTTACCATCAATGACTCTCCTATGTATATACATGTGTTCAGTATTAGCGCCAATAGAGGTGAGTTAGTGTTTAAATACTATAAGCTTCTACCTTGTGTAATATTTCGATGTTATATTTTCTAGCGCGAAGATCAAGAGTTGGAAGGAACTTTAAAAAAATATGTGTGTACATTACCATTATGTGGTGTTCCTATCAATATATTGCAATTTACAGTCAGTCAACTAGCACTTAATCATCAACGGTTACATGAATTAATACTATCATCTCTCTGGGAAGGTATAATAACAACAAGACTAAACCGCTTTGTACAAACGATATTAATTTACTGATTTCAAAGGTGTAATTAGTCAAAAAGAAGCAGTTCGTTTGGCTGTGACTGAACTATTATCGTCTATTATGCCATACTTGTCTGATATAAATATAACCAACCGAATTGTGCCAGCTCTCATTACACTTTCTAATGATTCTAATTGGTTAGTTACTCACTTAATAATTATTTGAAAAATGTATTGAATTTAAATTGTTTATTTGTATAATTTCAGTGATGTGAAAATAGCCTTAGTCCCAGTTCTTGGTCAACTGATGATGTCAACAAATAACAAGGATACTATTGAAAAATGTCGTTTTCAGATGAAAAGTCTTATGGATGATCGGACGTTAAGTGATAGCATTGTATTTGTGTCTGAACTCATAACAGCTTTTGGCAAACTGGCTCCAAAGTCAGATCAAGCTTACAGAGAAGATGGTAATTAACAACGAAATATAATATATAAATATGTTAAATATGAAA